AAGAAAACAAAGCACAAAGGCAGAACATTTCATAGGTAATATTAAGCTTTTTTCTGTTTTTGTAGGTTCTGAACTTTTGTGCTAATCAGGTAACGTTATTGATGATAACAGTCACTTACTGCACTCACCATAAGGCAAAGCAGCTCCAACTCGCACTAAACACTCGGCTTATGCTAGTTTTGTTGAATAAAATCAGCAAACAATGCAAAAGAAATATGACAACGAGATGCTGCGCTGCCAGAAACTTGTATTATTATCGGTTGAGTGAAAGAGTTGTTCGGGGGATTCATTCACAAACGAACCGCTCCCTCCGTCAGTATGAGAAGTGAAACCAGGAGAAGAGGTGTGTTTCAGGACACGATTAGATCAAATTTAACAGGGAGGGTGAATAGCACATTTCAGTACACACAAACACAAGCTTTTTGTCAGGAATGCCCGTGTGGTCACTGATCCATCAATGTAGAAAAGGGATGTAAAATTATAATTTTCGTAATTAGAAAAAAAAGAAATTACATACTAACATCCAGGAAAACTCCCGATCATAGATATTTGTGTATGTGTGTATATCTCTGGCTTTGGATGGCCACAGTCCTCCACTGTACCTTGGTCCCGCATTCATTTCAAAGGAGCGATACCCTGTACCAAGATGGCGTCGCTTTTGACGCATTCCGTCCAATAGACAACAATGGGCCAGGCGACATCTAATGTATATATCTATGCAATAGCCTCACAGTAAGAAGGATGCTGGTTCGAGCTTTGGCTGGGTCAGTTGACATTTCTGTCTGGAGCAGGGGTGGGCAAACTCTTTCCTGGAGGGCCGATGTCCTGCACAGTTTAGCTCCAACTCTGATCAAACACACCTGCTATAGATAATTAGTGATCTAGGAGACACAAATTAGCATGTTCAGGTGTGGTTTCATAAGAGTTGGAGCTAAACTATGCAGAAAATCGGCCCTCCAGGACAGAGTTTGCACACCCCTGGTCTGGAGTTTGCATGTTCTCCCCGCAATCGCAAGGGTTTCCTCCAGGTGCTCTGATTTCCCCCACAGTCCAAAAACATGTGCTATAGCTGAATTGAATAAACTAAATTGGCCGTAGTATACGTGCGTGAATGAGAATGTATAGGTGCTTCTCAGTGTTGGGTTGCAGCTGGAAGGACATCCGCTGTGTAAAGTAATGTTGGATAAGTTAGCCGTTCATTCCGCTGTGGTGACCCCAGATTAATAAAGGGACTAAAGGCTCACACTGTCAATTTTTTTATAATCCTGAACGATTGTAGCTATGTCAGACTGCACAAACATGGCTTCCATGCCCCATTGTAAGATCTCAGCTGTCATAATGTCAGACTGAATGACAATGAAAACGCACCATACACGAAAGAAAACACCCCCGGAGTTTGACGACATCCATCTCCATCACTAAAATTATTCTGAAATGATTCCTCAGAGCAAATGTAAACAATTTGTAGCAGCAATTTTGAAGAAAAAAAACTGTTCTGACATTTCACCGTGGTCAACTGAATTGCCGCATGGATTGCATCATCAAATTATAAGTGGTGCTCGCTGCAGAGCCATTTGAGGAGAGCTGAGCTCCAGCGAGGGGGAGCTTAAGCTTGAGCTCCACCTTTTTTGCACTTCTTCTACGAGTGATGTCACTGGGGGTAGGGTTAGGGGTGGGGTTGGTGTACGCATTAAAACAGCTTACAGGAGGAGGAGCGACAGCTCATGCTCCCCCTCGCTGGAGCTCAGCTTTCCTCAAATGGCTCTGCAGCGAGCACCCTCTCTCAAATTTGGAGCTCCTATTGGTTCTTGGATTGATGCTCATCACAGCTGTTGTCACACTGCAGGAAAGTGTCTGAAATCTTCTGACACTGCCAGAACTTCTTTTAGGGAAAAATTTGATCGCAAAGGGCAATAAGCGCCTGTCAGTGAACATGTCAAACCAACGATCAAAGATCACTGATTTTAGCCGCGGATTTTAGGAATCTTTAAGGATTTCCCAAGTTTGTCTCAGATGACAAAATCATGGCTGAAATGTCAGTGTAAGAGAGCTTAAGCTGAAAAGAAAATGAATATCAGTGTTTGTGCATATGAATTCATACCAGTGTTATTTTAGTATCACCATTTAAGTTTTGTAGTTTAGAATTATTGTTAGTTTGAATAAGGTGTTTTAATGATTTTTTTCTCTTTTCTTTAGTTGACAAAACAGTTTTAATATCATCCTTTGTATGTCTACAGTGTGTGCATACATAATAACATCATAAAAAAACATTTAAATTAACTGTTTTCATATTTATAAATATTGATTGAAAACCAAATCAGCATATAAAAGGATATCTGATGGATTTTGATGCTGAAAAACTTTTGAATTCATTACACTGACATGCATTAAAATCTAAACCAGCTCTGCTAAACTGCAGCAATATTTGACAACATTGCTAATTTTATTGCACTTTTATCAAATAAATGCAATCTGCTGACAAAAATATATAAAAAGACATCTGCTTTATTCATAAAGATATGGTAATATTAATATTTTACTAAACATGAATGGACATTGCATTAATAAATACTTTAAAAGCTTTAATTTAAGAAACATTTAAAAAAATGTTTTTTTAACATTTTTTATTTTACTTTTTTTTTGCATATACAGAATGGGACCTTTGTACGATAAAGCAACAGTCAACAATATTGAATGGTCTAATATTACATAAACAACAAAACATAACATTCATTTAATTTTCACATGCACACAGCTTGACTAACATTACTGTTCAATTTAATGGTCTCTAAAGTGAATTCTGACAAATTATGAACTCAATCTGTAAATCATAATTGGGTTGACTAGCAATGACGTCATAAAATGCCAATACTCAAAACAAACTAGCAGAAATATTCTATTCATTAGAAATATTAGTGAAACCCTTTGCTTTCACTACAATTTTACATCAGAATAATTGAAGTAGCCACGTGTTGGCTCTAGTCGTAGCATCCCAACACATCTGGGAAGAGTCGCGTGACGTCATGTGGCCATTGATAAGGTTTATTTTTATCCTGTTGTGGAGATCAATTTGCTTTGCTTTATCATTGTCATCATATTTACACCACTTGTTGGCTGTTGTAACGGGCCCGTGTCCTTGTAAAACTATAATCCATTCCTAATCCAGTACAGATTACTATTCCCTTCGGTCCGTATCTTTTCCTTCACTCTCACTGTTCAACCAATGACCTGTTTGGTTTGACTAGACAACAGCTGCTATAAGCAACATCTAAAACCCAGTATGCACCAATAAACCAAGAATTTAGTTATCTTTATTCGGGATTACAAATAAATCTGAAGGGAAAGAGCCAGACACGACCGGCTAATTGACACCTAACCTTAGTGTCAGCAAAACCACTTTGAATATGAAGCCTTTAACATATTTTAATTCACAGCAGAGTATTTATAAAATCCACACACCGCACTGACTGGTTTGTGGGTTCAGTATTAATCTGCACGTACTTTTATCAATGAACCAAACGGCTGACTAGGCAGTTAGCATTAGCACGCATAGCCACGACAGAATATCTCTGTTGATTTTAAGACTTAAATTGAAGCATAATAGCTTGAAACTCACCTTAAATTGGGTGGTTATGTGATATAGTGAATTGTGGCTGAATCATAGAGGAGTCAGCCGAAAGGTTTATAAGATATCCTATGTACAGCACCTCATTGCTATCGCCGCATGTCCTCCCTTGAAAGCGTACAGCGATCCGAGGACGCTCTTGATTACTGGAATCGATTCTTTGAACTGAGTCTTTAACATGTTCGACTCCCCCCGAAGATTAGGGGGTTCTGATGAACAGTTGATTCATTAAAACCGAGTCTTCGGCGGAGTCGACTCTTGTTCTATAGGATATGGCAGTGGCGTTCTATAGGGCGTTATCGAAGCTACACAAACGACTCCAGGATTGATTCTGTCGTGTCTTGCTCGTTAATACAATTTTTCAGCAATAGAAAATAAGATATCAGATATTAAACATACCGTACACGCGAAACAGGTAGAGAATTTAAGATTTATGATTTACGGAGTAAAATAGGTGAGAAATAATCAGGGTTTAAATGCAATTCATTTCAGGTTTTCAAAATAAAAGTCCGAATCAGTACTAATAATTACATAGCAGTATATTTAAGCTGTACGCACACATTCTAATTACAAATATAAAAATGAATAAATCTAAAAAAAAGAATTTTGTAGTAAACTCATGAAAAAATGTTTTAAATGAAAAGAAATATCAGCTTTTCTGCAAAATGTACATACTGCAGTGCAATACTTTAGCTTTTAAACATACCCATTTTCTTTATTAAACATTGTTTTGTGCATATATACATAACTCACTCTTTCCATATAATTTTGATAAAAACATGACCACTTTTTATTAGTGTAGAACTTTACAAAACATCCCATTTAATATTTTATTCATTCAATCATTCATTTTCTTTTCGGCTTAGTCCCTTTATTAACCAGGGGTTGCCACAGCGGAATGAACCACAAACTTATCCAGCATATGTTTTAAACAGCGGATGCCCTTCCAGCTGCAACCCATCACTGGGAAACACCCACACACTCCGGACAACTTAGCTTCCCCAATTCACCTATAACACATCTTTGGACTTGTGGGGAAAACCAAAGCACCTGGAGGAAAGCTTCATGAACACAGGTAGAACATGCAAACTCAACATAGAAATGCCAACTGACTCGGCCAAGACTTGAATCAGAAACTTTCTTGTTGTGAGGCAACAGCACTACCCACTGCACCATCCTTTAATAGTTTATATATTAACAATAAATAACTGTTACAATCTATAAAATGCTTATTATTACCAGCAGTTTGTGTGTGTGTGTGTGTGTGTGTGTGTGTGTGTTTTAGCCACCCTTCATTTGTGCTATTGCATTGTGTACTCAGGGCAGTTGGACCAAAATGTTACAGCTAGTTGAATGAAAGAGACTCAAAAGCATAGAAAGATCAAAGATTGCCATTTTTATTGTCTAAAAATTTCAACTACAAAACCTTTACTCAGTATAGAAGAATAATCCTCCTACCACACTATCTATTTATCTGAGAGGATTGGGTTACTAAAGTCTGGTCCCAATTGGATAGGAAAAAATGAATATGGTGACATGAAAATACATCTGCATTGTTGTAAATGGACAAGAAAAGAATAAAGTATTTGCATTTATAACAGTAAAATATGTAGTTGTAGAACTGTTTGCAAGTTTAAAGACACTGAAATGACACTTGAGCAATTCTCTACACATGCTAGAGCACTACAATAAATGAAAAAAACAAACAAACAAAAAATGTCAAACCACACTCCACTGTGGTTGATTTAATGTGCGTGTTTTAGGTAAAATACTCAATATGGAATGTTATTGTGGTCAATACCGGAATGAAAGACAATTCTGGGTACTTCAACCCACAAATCTCACTTAATGCAGCAATATAGAGTGAACAATAAACACGGAATCACATCAGTAAGCAATAAAATATTTCCCTTTACTGCCAAATGTCAAGACTGAACCATTATGGTCCCTTCATCGCCCCAATACAGTAGCCAGTAGTGCCATCCGAATATACATCCCGTTCTCTGCCTGCCGGAAGTAAGCAGCCCGAGGATCTGTGTCCACTTCCACACTGAAAATAAAATAAAATGAATAAATGTCCATCCACTTTTGGAAGTAGTGATTCTGCAATAATTCTCCATTAGGATTTATCAAATATTATATTTACATTTTTCATTCATTAATTTTATTTTCCGCTCTGGGGTCGCCACAGCGGAATGAACCGCCAACTATGCCAGCATATGTTTTACGCAACAGATGCGCTTCCAGCTGCAACCCATCACTGGGAAACATCCATACACACTTATTCACACACATACGCTACAAGCAATTTAGCTTACCCAATTCACCTATACCACGTCTTTGGACTTGTGGGGGATACCGGAGCACCCGGAGGAAACCCACGTGAACATGGGAAGAACATGCAAACTCCACACAGAAATGCCAACTGACCCAGCCGAGGCTCGAACCAGCGACCTTCTTGCTGAGGCAATCGTGCTACCCACTGCGCCACCGTGATGCCCCATATGTACATTATTCATTCATTCATTCATTTTCTTTTTGGCTTAGTCCCTTTATTAATCTGGAGTTGCCACAGCAGAATGAATCGCCAACTTCATATTTTAAACAATTTGTGACTTTTGTAATTGGTAGAATTGTCCACAAAGCAGTATGGGTAATGTAGTTTTTTTATGTACTCGGCAAATACACTACAGTTTTAAAAGAAATTGAATTAATTTGGACTGATGTGTTCAACAAAATCACATGAAGGTTAACTGTGAATAACCTCAGAAGGTTTATTGTATAAATAAAATACCCATGGAGAAGTTTAAGCCAGTTTTTTTTATTAGCATCAGATTATCAGAAAAGATGGGTTGAGAATAGCAAACCTGATCTCGTTGACTCTGGGAAGAGGATGCATGACCACCATCTTTCTTTTGGCTCCCGTCATGATATGTGGGGTTAGGATGAACTGGCCAAAACACTGTCAGAAAAAGAACACCTGTTATAAACCTACAGCATTTAAAAAAATAAATACACAGTGACATGACATCAGTAAAAATCTCCCACCGCATTGTACTCTTTTTCAGAAGAGAACCGCTCTTTCTGTATTCTCGTCATGTACAGAACGTCAGTGTCAGGAAGGGCTTCTTCAATGCTATTAAACTCCTCCTGCGAATAGAGTTTATAATGTTTACACATGCTTGAGGATAAAAAAAATTATACAAAATAAATGGCAAGGACCCAAGTTAACGTCCACTCCCGAATTCTTACATGAAATTATAAAAGTACCTGTTTAATTCCCTTGGAGGCCACAAAGTCGATGATTTCTGCAGGCATGCTCAGATTCTTTGGAGCCACATAGCGTAAAGTGATTCTGTACTGAGTGAGAAGTCTAGCTAGAGAATGCACAGTTCGCCCATGTTTCAGGTCGCCTACCATGGTAATCTGTGATTTAGAGAGAAAAAAAAATTACACAAGAGTTATTAAAAGTCATTATTACATGACTGCAGTGTTGAGATTAAACAGCACCCTAGGGTTGTGTTTATTTTCTTTTATTAAAGTTGAAAAATAAGCAGATCTTGCAGACTTTGAAACTTTTCTGAAGTTAAGTATACTTTCTTTCCAGGCCAGACAAAAAACCTCTTGTTTTGATTTCTTCCATCTATTTTCCATTTTCCGAGCTGCTTTCTTTAAGGCACATGACTGGCTGGAATACTTGATTTTGATTGGTCAGTTGTGACATTCCAAGTATGTTATTCCGAGATAACAACCGCTGAAACTAATAAAAGGCTCATCTGGGTATTTATAATGATCTTGACAATCAGTTAATATAGACTTTCATCCATACATATGCTTGTCTGTCACATATACATATTGTCTTGTCTGTATTGGCTGTTCGGTGTGGTTACAGCCCAGTGTCTGTGCGTGAATTCTGTGTGTTTTTCTCCCTCACTCTACCTCCAGCTGTCATTTCTTAGGTCAGTAAGTTTCAGCTGCTCATTGGTCGCTTGTGATGTCCATTATCATTACCTCCCAATGACGCCATTGCGTAAATGCCAGATCAGAAGCGGAGTTCCCAGTTTAAAAGGATCCCGGTGCAGAAGATCACTAGCTTGCTCAGTCGCTTGTTTCTATGCTCTTGCTTTGTTGTTTTTCGATCTTGGTTGTGTTACGTGTGATGCTTTAACATTTTGATAAACTCTATGCAAGTTGTTTTACAATTTGTACTAACTATGCTTTTGCTCTGATTGCCAGATTCAAGGGTTACTGGGATTTTCGAGGAAAGGCTAGATGTCACGTGACCTACATGCTGCTACACATAGGATCTGCCATACACTATTAGACACACTAGATAAGAAGTATGTGTCACACACTGTAGGTTTTGTTACACATTTTTTTGGTTGGTAGAATAGTTTAGTTAGGGCGCAAAACAACACTGAAAACTTTTATCTTGTGAACTTAATTTGTAAGTTAGTGTACGCTCCATTCAGCCGTTTTCGTTTCACTTTGCCTTTAATTAAAGAATGAATAAACTATTACAGCTCAGAACAATGTGTAAAGGGATAAAGTACATCCAGGCGTTATTATTGCAGAATATTGTTGATAAGCATTTTGAGCTTTATTGAGCTAAGTAGTAACATTGGTTGTGATTTTGTGTGGAACTATCTCTTTATCAAAAATTACAAACGTCAGCCCCAAGTAGAAATGTCAGGCTAATGAGCTAACAGGTTTTCTTTTCCAAGTGTAAACTCACAGTCATGCCATTGACCGTTCCCAGCTCTTCTCGGATTGTAAAGATGTCCAGAAGGGCCTGAGTTGGATGTTCTCCGACCCCATCACCAGCATTGATCACCGGACGCCGACAATGTCTTGCCGCACTCTACAGACCAGAAGCATGTTTATGTAGATAGACTGAGAAAAATATCTTTTTAAATCACACCCTAAAATACTGAAATACATTCTAATGATAATTAATAAATCATTGATGAACAATGTATAACCACTATAATGCTGTTGTTTGTTTGTTTATTTCTTGTGTGTATATATATAAATAAATATATAAATATATATATATATATATATATATATATATATATATATATATATATATATATGAAAACACACACACACACACACACACACACACACACACACACACACACACACACACACACACACACACACACACACACACACACACACACACACACACACACACAATAAATCAGATTTTACATTTTTACATTAAACATTAAATATGATTTTCCACTTTGATATATAAAAAATAATTTGGCTTCCAAAGTACAGCAAATTAATTTTCTTCTCAGGCCATATTAAATGGATCAAATCTGATAAAGAAATTCCAGAAGTAACAAAATATTTCACTTTTAAATAAATGCTGTACTTTTTTAAATTTCTTCCAATCAAAAACAAAATTGTTTAGCACCAAAATCAGCATATGACTTTGATTTCTGAAAGCTCTTGAAAAAGACTAGAGAAATTTAATCTAGCTCTGCCATGCGAGCAATACATTACATTAATATTACCATAAAATATAAATATTTTGAAGAAATACATTTCTTTGGTTTGCATAGAGTGATGCATAATTCCATTTAGAAATGAAATTTTAAAGCTTGGGCTGTTTTACTCCAGTGAGTCACAGTATGTATTTAAGCCCTGTTAATCCTTGCAGTGCTACATTCTAAACAAACAATATTACGAAAAGAGAACAGCCAGAATCTTTTAAGATCCATGTCAGGAGTAAACCTTTAAGCGGCAGTGAAACCAGACATTAACAGTCTTTTCTCAACTAATGTTATAAAAGTTATAAAAAGAATCATCATTCAACAACATTAGGCAGGGGTCAACATCAAGGTGCAATTTGGGATATTTTTAAATACTTGAAATACATGTTTCCAGAAAAGAACCTTTAGAATTAGTTGCAGTTTTGATTTGGTAAAGTTTCTCAAGATATCGTTGTATAAGGTACAATACATTTTGTGTGCAGTTTTAAAATGGATAAGAATGTGCGAGGGGTTTTTGGAGGTTAGGCAGATATTTGACCATATTGTGTCCCGATCGGGATTGTAACCCAGCCAGGAGAGTTCTCTATTCCATACAGCTAATATCTTCAGGGGTTTGTATGAACATTCAAGGCGCTGTTTATATATCAAGAAGACTGTACCCTGAAGACTCCCAGTATATTTAATCCACTTTAACAATGGGTGATCATCTAAGTACGAGTCCTATGGCACTCTGTACGCTTTCATTGCTGACCTGAACTTCGTATTACTGGATTTTTGATCAAATTAATACCACACTGCCTAGGTGTGATTGGTTTTCACAAATGTAACTTTTCATTTGAATGAAAGTAAAAGTAAATGCTTGTGGCTCACCTCTACAGCTCCTGGTATGGGGTGCCGCAGAACAATGACATCAGCATAGCAGCTCATGGTGTTCACAGAGTCCACCAGAGACTCGCCCTTCTGCGTTGAAGATGTGGACTCGCAGAAATGCACCACAGACCCTCCCAGACGATGCATGGCTGCTGCGAATGAACTGCTGGTGCGAGTGCTCACCTCGTAAAACATAGAGGCCATGACTTTACCCTGGTAGAAGATGAGCAGAATAGAATTAAATAGCTTTTTACCATTTTACTACTCCATCTATGTTCATCTCTGTTTCTGAAGGCCACAGATGCTCATTTCTGCAAGACGATGAACAGAACAGAATAAAATTATGAGCTTTTTAACATTTTTCTATTCCATCTATGTTCATCTCTGTTTCCAAGGGCCACAGATGCTCATTTCTACAGTAAAAGACCTACTTCAAACTGTGATGCATCACTGCTCAAGCCATTAACAGGAAGGCTTTAGTCAGGATGTTGTTCAATCTGGCAGTTCAACACTCCCGCTGGGGGAGGTTTATGTAATAAATGTTCAAAATGAGCTGTAAAAAATGGCCTAGTGACATCTACTCTTATTTAACATGATAAACATCAAACGGCAAGTAAGAAAGAAGAAAGTATTGTTCGTTTATTATTGCCACATCAGCAACTTGTGGCTATTTCAAACCAAGGCCTTGTTGACATGGTCTGGTCTTGATGCCCAATTCCAATTTGTTGCCTAAATCTAGTTTTTTTGCTTGTTTGTTTACACATCCTTTTAATTGTGACCCTTTTAAAATGATGCGGAGGAGGAGGGAAAGGGTAGTTATCGCAGTTTGCGTCTATGGTTTATATATGGTGTCCTCTACCATATAGAAACCAGAGCAAAAAAACTTTTTTCTAAAAATTAGGTCACATTTAAATGGCAGTGTTAACAGGGTCTAATAAAGCAACCGATCTAATGCACTTGACTATTTTCAAAAGTGCTCAATAGTAAACAGTCTCAAAAGGTTTTAGCCCTTGTTTACATCAATATTTAATGTTGTCCACTTGACCAAAGCAAAAAATAAATACATAAAATCTCAAGTAGGGCTGCACGATATTGTAAAAATCTGATATTGTGATATATTTTTTTTATATTTATAAATTTTGCAATAGAAATGCAGTTTTACAAGGTGGTATAAATAGCTATTGGAATAGCTCTGGGGAGTCTAACAGTATTCAAGTACAGAAATTGAATAATCACAAGGCAAAAAATGCTTTTCTGACTTTGTATTGTCTTGTTTCTTGTTGAAATATCCCAAATTCATGAATCAAGAAAATAAATAGTTGGGTTTTATAGAAATAAGTAAAAATTTAAAGTTTTTCCTGAAGACAAGTAGATTTTTGGACTATAAAAAAAGACAAAAACAATCATACATTTTGCATAAATCGTATATATACTTAAATACAATGAATATTTGTTACACCTCCAAACATCATAGTTTATGTGCCTACATGTTCTAAAATCTCTTTAAATGCTCAGTCACCTGCCTTAAAAACACATGCAAATGATAAACTCTCACTTTACTATGGTTAAACTTAAAACTATGGTAAACAAGCAGTGACTCAAAATCACCTGTTCTGTGGCTCCTGGTCAACTATAATGCAGACTCAACACTGCAGATCTTGCAATGTGATTTTTGCAGATGCGCAGATTGCGATATCAATGCTGAAATCAGATGCTTTGTTTCCAGTGAAGACTTAGAGAAACTTGTTCATGCTTTTATCAGCAGCAGGGTGGATTACTGTAACGGCCTCTTCACTGGCCTTCCCAAAAAGACTGTCAGACAGTTGCAGCTCATACAAAACGCTGGGGCCAGGATTCTGACCAGAACCAGGAAATCAGAGCACATCACGCCTATCCTGAGGTCTTTACAATGGCTCCCAGTTAAATTCTGAATAGATTTTAAAGTATCATTACTTGTTTACAAATCACAAAATTTTTAGGATCATATAAACTAGAGGTGTGAACCTATACTGGTCTCACGGTTCGGTTACGATTATCATGCCTTCGATTTGGTTCGATTCGATATCCCGGTGCATTGACGATGCTTTCCATATACAGTATTATATTTTAGGGGGGAGGCTATAACATGCTGTCTGTATAAACACACAGACACACAGCACCACACTGTCTCTCATTCAAACACATACACAAACATAGACAGCAACACACACACACACACTTAAGCCCACGCAACAGGGAGAGCTCGAGCTGAGCGGAGCAAAAAAACGAAAAATAAGAAGCACTTTTCCGACAGTCCCTTACTGAGAGCTCCTCTCAGCGCAAGTTCTCCCGGCTAAACACATATTGCGAGGGCTTAAACGGAGCAGTGCTCGTAATGTTGAGCGAAAAAAAAGAAAGACAGCTGTGAAACATAACCAGCTTTGTCTTTTTGTAGGAAACACACTTTAGATCTTTTTAGGGTAAGCGTTTGAGTTAATGCCATCTATAACTGAATGTGTGTCAGGAATATCGAAAACAAAACCAACTGAACTGCGCTCATTTCTGGCACCCCTCCACCATCATTCACAAAATGAACTTCATTGCTTTCTACCAACATTCATCGTACCTTCAAAATATCCAACGGTCGTTCCTTCTGCACCATGAGACGAAGAGTATGTGCCACATTGAACAGATGTGACATCTGAAAGCAAAAGACAAACAGGAGAGGCAGATGAGCCACTGTAAAAATGCAACACTTTCACATGCACAAAAGCCTGGAGTCCTGGACAGGACAACGGCATCACCTGTTCCTTGCTGAACTGGCGCACAGACAGGATGTGCTGGCCCACCAGCGGGTGCAGCAGCGGGGAGGTTTGAGGGTGAGGCAGGATCTGCGGTTGCCCAGCTTGAGGTGACAGGATCCTGGCCAGGGGAGGAGGGTGAGCGTATGCCTCTGCTGGTAGAGCCAATTCTGATAATGGAAGCAGAACAATCAGCACACACCATATCACCTCTTGAGCTTTTGTAAATCTCACTTTACACCGATAAGAACAGGGCATTGTTTAGCTCACTGGGATTGACCTGAATCACAAGGAATAGCATGCAAGCAAAGCATGGGCAATGCTGAGAGAGAGAGAGAGTTTCCATCATGTCTTAATTATGCTTTAGCGAAGGCTAAAATTTGATGCCCATGAAATGAATCCAGGAACAAACACAGATTGGTAGAGAGAACAGAAGCTAAAAGGGTGGCAAAAGCTCTGGTAAACATCACTACAAACATCAAACCTGCATCAAATGGTGCTCTTAAAGACACTTCCTCTTCGGCTGCTCCACCATTAAGGAACAAAGTTTGAAGAGATGGATTAGTGGCTGTACAGTTAGAACTTTAGAATTGTAAATTGCACGATTTTACACACAGTGCCAATTAATTATAAAAATGATTAGCTTTAATTTCCTTTAGCTTAAAAAATGGTTTGCAAGCGTATTTTTTTTTTCAAAAATATGCATTTGTATTGCAGATTGTTAACTAACATTACTCTAGGAATACGAGATTCCATTTTGATGTTTGCATTAAATTAAATTCACAAAATTGATATACACTTTGCGTAAAAAAAGTCAGCATTTTAAAGTTTAATGATTTTGCAAAATAGATAGATTCACATAAATGTTTTATGTATACTTTAAATCAAAGTATAAAAAAATAAAAATTACAATTGGCAATTATTTTGTCTTCCCTGTAAATTTTCATATCAAAGTGCAGTCAAAATAATTAGTTGTCATTTTAAATCTTTATATTTTGTATTAAAAGTATACTTAAACAATTCTGGTCTAAAGGTTCAACCATTCTAGTCTAAAAGGTAATAAGTTATAATTCCTTCCGAGGGTGATTTTTCAGCCAAATTTGTAATGTAATGTGTATTTATATAGCGCATGTATCATGTATGGTCATACACCCAAAGCACTTCACAATCACCACATCACCATCTGTGTGCAGCATCCGCTTGGATGATGCCACAGCAGCCACAGGACAACACATTACCAGTGTACTTGCCACACACCAGCTATTGGTGGAGTGGAGAGACACTGATAAAGCCAATTAGTTGGATGGAGATGAGAGGAATTTGGCCAGGACATCGAGGTTCCACCCCTGTTCTTTACGAGAAGACCTCGTTTTAACGTCTCAACTGAAATACGGAGCTCACTGACAGTGTAGTGTCCCCTTCACTATACTGGGGCATTAGGACTCACACAGACAGGTTGAGCATTCCCAGCTGGCCTCACTAACACCACTTCCGACAGCAACCTAGTTTTCCCATGGGGTCTCCTGTCCAGATGCACAATGTGGACTATTTTTGCAATTAATTAGGTTAATCACAACATTGTGCAAATACACTATTTACACTATTACATAACAATCTGCAATTAATCGACAGGCCTACCAAAGATTTGTTTAATGACTGGTTTCATTTCAGCAAAATAATCAGTAACACATGTAATGCAATAATCACCACATCCAACTGTCGTTTTGGGTGAATTACTTCTGATTTAAAGATTTGAAGAACATTTTAGAGTTTAGTTTCAGAGGCTGTAAGATTATTCAATTATGATACATGCACAAAATTATCAAGATTGTTATATTCTCAATGAAAAATAAGATAGAAAAAACAGATCAGAATGTTCAATCGAAATCACGAGACACAGATCTTGATTTGATAAAACTATACACATCACATTACCAAACGCCTTTTGGGGATGCATGGTAGATCTTTTGAAACCTGCATATAAAAACATATCTTACAAGAAGCATGATCAAATTAGACCAGCAAACAGTTTAGCTGAATCATTTGCAAGTTAATGGGACATGCAAGCTTAAACCAAAAACTGATGCTAGCAAACAGAAGCTACCATTGCCTAAATAAACCACTGTCTGTCTAATTTAAAACCGTTTCCAATGACCAACTAATTATTGACACAACAGTGGTCCATTTGGCACACAAGCTCATGCACAAGCCATGAGCAAATACATAAATACTTTTATGCACTTTACGCTACCTGGAGGCAGGCCGGGATCAGATGACCGGTGGATACGAGGTGGCAGAATGAACCGTCCATCTCCAGCTGAGCGGCGTGGGCTCGGGGCACGACTGCGGACCACATCAACAGGTGCCGCCTGACGGGGGCGCTCAGGAGTCATTGCCTCGATCACACGCTGGAATTAACAAGCATATTCATTTATTAGCCAGAACACATTAAAAAAATTGTAAACAAAGCTTTAAAGTTATGTAATGAGAGTTATTGCATTACCTTAGGAGCATCCATTATCACCTCAGTGGTTGCTGTTGGGGTTGCTGACCAAGACTTTACATCCTGACCATAACCAGGAGGTACCAACACCTGAAAAGAAAGGGGAGCTATTAAACATACTGAGGCATGTGCTACAGACACATTTTTGAGGGATCAGTATGAACAGATCTCATTCACAAATAAGCGCAAGGACTGTTTTGCATTTATGCACACGGGTGAACTACAAGAAAAATCTCTTCCTCGCACAAAAAAAAACTTCAATGTAAGAACTAAAAAAAAAAGGCTTTCCCATCTTTGTAGTTAATAGAATTTCTGTAATAGAAGCCACATGAATGAGGAATCAGTTGCTTAACACACAATATATATATATATATATATATATATATATATATATATATGCTTCTTTGAATAGAAAAAATCTGCATAACCTGAAGACAACTTCTGAATATTAGACATTAGAATATTAAACAAGTAACTTTTATGAATGGCTTATAAAAGGATAGTTAACTCACCCACAAGTATGTAGAAGTTTCTTATAAAATTCGTATTTAATCTAATAATGTTGGTAACCAGACAGCTGACTGTAGCCATAGACATTATCTACAGTATTTATTGTTTGTTTGGCTATCAACATTCTTCCTTTAGGTCAACCAGAAAAAAAACAAATACTCAAATGGGTTTGTATATTTTATTTTTTGGGTGAAATCGCTCATAAAAAATAACCTAAACTATAACATTTTATGAAGCTTTTACATTTAGAATATTATTTTTTCAATTTTACCATGGCTTCTACAAAACTATTAAGCAGGAAAAGTATTTTCAATATTGATAAATAATGCTTCTTTGAACACAAAATCAGCATAATCTGAAGACAGTAATAATTGCTGAATATTAAGGAAAATAATATCTTTTCTATAAATATGAAGTACAAATATGATATATTTTCTATAAATATAACGCAATATTAAATTAAAATTTTACATTATAAAACATCTATAAAAATAAAATAACAGACTTTGCAAACAGTATTGTAGAAAAGCATTGGCCCTTTACCTGTCCATCAATATAAGCCACTTCGCCTCTGAGCACAACCCTCATGACTTTTCCCTTCACTTTCATGCCCTCAAAAGGTGTCCACTTTGACTTGGTGAATTGCATGTGCTTTGGAATGATCCACTCCTGCTCCAAATCCACCTGAAAAAAATACCACTTGGGTATTAAACAGACATCTAAATTTAAATGCACCCACTGACTACCTGCACTCTTTCATGAAATACCTCAACATAGGTGTCTTCTTGAGCAGGAAGGGAGAAGATTTTTCGGGGGTTTTCATACAGCCTCTTGATAATGTCATCGACTGTAAGGCGACCCTCGCTGACGGCCGTGAACAGCAGAGGCAGCATCGTCTCCAGACCTGGGTAACCTGGAGGAGGCTTCTCTGAGATCTTCTCTTCCGCTGAATGTGGAGCTGCAAGGTTTTTTGTTTTTAATCAAAAAGGACAGTAAAGACATTTAAAATGCTACAAAAGATATAGATAGTAGCTATATAGTCCCTGGGCAGGAAGTTGTTTGAGAGATTATGTGACCGTACGTTTACATGGACACTAATAATCTAATTTTAATACATACAAAGCAATACTCTGAGAATCTACCATGTAAACAGCGACTTTTGACTGATTTAATCCAGTTCTAATAGACACAAACAGAAATCGAATTAAGAAATGTCGAGTATGCTGATTTTATTCGCATCACACTTTAATAAAGCTATTATCATTTTATTTTTCACCGGATTTTGTGACAGGACAGTTTGTACACATGACTGTTTCACACTATTCTCCGCACCTACCGAGTCTGTGAAGGACCACAAACACCCGCATCACATAATACCAAGGTTTTGTTCCCCCCAACGGTGTGCTGTATCAAATTTCCATAAAACAACACACTTCCAGCAGTTCATACTCGCATGCAGTATCTCGTTTGTCATGGGGGGCATGCATGAAATGTTCCTGAATTAAAGTGCCAAACTGCAGTTAAAGTGGACAAATCAAAAATTAAACATCCAAAATTAACTAACACTCTGGAGGAAATGTGGGTAGCGTTGTGATGCAATGACGTTAATCGAATTATGTGCTATAACATGTAAAACGTGATCATGAAAGGAACATTCAAAAAGCAACTCATGTAAACACCATATTATTGTCTTGTTCACTTTAAGGCAAATTATTTGATTACTAGTGTCCATGTAAACATAGTCATTAAAAAGGTTTAATCACATAAATAAATGCTATGGGAAAAAAAGTTCTTCGATTCTCAGTATTTGCTGGATTCATTAAGATTAGTTAAGTGGATAATTTGGATTTATTTTTTTATAAATGTTAATATTTGATTTATTCCATAAAGATCTTGTAACATGTTCCAAACATATTTTGATCTTTTTTATTATAAAAAAGGGACAGAATCACAAATGTTGTGATAAAATTTAGTGTTAATCCTACAATCATTATCTCTAAAATCTTCAAATATTATCTCTAAAAAGTTAAAACCACTGGTAAAAAATAAATATCTTATCTTAAATTACATTTGGAAAACAGCGTCATCAGTGCTTTACAGAATAAAACTAATTGTTTTTTCCCTCAAATAAAACTACAATTTCCTCATTTCTAAGGTATTTCTGTAAAAAATTTTCCATAGCTTTTTTTTGGTCAAGTAGATGCATTATAGGTAATGCATAAGAGACTTCTTCAAATAAATCTTTTTACTCAAAAGCTAAAAATAAACAAGTGTAGACTGATTCAGCACTAAAAGAATTTAAAATAATTTAAATTTTTCTAAATTTCCAAAAGGCTGTTTTTATAGGACAGTGTTGATTTTTTTCCTTGTATGTAGAATTAGTTTTATATTAAGCACGTCCAAAAGATTTCATCCTATTTGTTTACCATGCTAAATACCTGCATTTTAAGCAAAGATGCCAACACAACAGCAAAATCTGATCCTATTATTACCGTGGTCTGTTGCAAAACAGTCAATGATGTCTAGATTTTCCCATAATGCCTCCATGTCCTCGCGTGTGCCCAGCATGGGGCGCACTTGTGCCTTGTCTTTTCCAATGACGGGCACGTTATCTTCACACAAGAAAAGATGGTGAGGTGCCACTTCACACGTCACCTGGATCCCTTTTTGTTTAGCAGCTCGAATGATCAGAATCTGCAAAACAAGGCATGTGTTTAATTAATTACTATTCAAAAGATATATGTAAATAATTTGGAAAACTAGAGCATGAAACATAATACTTTTGTTAAAACACCACATATAACAAGGATTTTTACCTCTTCTTTCTTGGCAACGTGGCAGATATGAACAGGTCTCTGATAGAGCTGTGCCACCAGCAGGATTGCAGCCACTGTCTGTTTCTCTGCATGTGCCACAATGGGCAAGTGCTTCGGCCACTTTTCGAAGTGCTGCAAACAAAGAAACAAATCCAGTTGTAAAAATGTAAGCATGACAAATCAAATAAAAATATATAATGCTTAATGTTTTATGTAATTAAATAATTTCAAATTATCCATTTGAAACGTGTAAATGGGTGCAATTGTTTTGCCTGTTTTTATCAGGCTGAAACTAAGAAAATCATGACAAAATAAATAAAGAAAAAGAAATTGACTTTAAAATGTTTTCAATTTACTTATTTTGAATGCAAACTTCCAGGTTTTTTATTTTTCTTTAATTAGTTTATCAAAATTTATATTTATTTATATTAATTTATTTGTATTTATTTATATATATTTTTAGTTTTTTGTATTTATTTAAAATTATGCATAGACTTAATGCAGTGTTTTTAAATAAATGAACACATTTTATATTAAATAAAAGCATAATAACATATTACTAAAAAAACACACACGCATGCACGCACACACGCACAAACACCCAGTTTCATTAACATCCTCCATTTTCATTTTCCATACCTCCATCCACAGCGAGACATTGTCCATCTTCAAAGTAGAGTAGGTGTCATTCAAGTACATCTTCAGACCAGCTGTAGAGCTTGCAATGGACGGAAGTAGAGCAGCGTTGTCGGATGAAGCCCCCACGAAAAGTGCATAATCACAGCGGCACCCAGCCTTTGCAAGCTAAACATATTAATCACAAATTTTTAAACAAACAAACACAATTTCCCCAGTTTTCAACTTAATAAACGACTGTAATTAGTTAAGTTTACCTTTTGTGCCATAGTAAAGGAGTTGGGGTCGATGATGGCAGGGTTAGTGTTGGGCATTGCACACACCATAGTGATACCTCCAGCGAGTGCAGCAGCAGTGCCCGACGAGAAGTCTTCTTTATGGGTGGCACCAGGCTCTCGCAGATGTACATGGACATCAATCAAACCTTTAGATATTCAAGAACAAAAGAGAAGACCTTAATTTAAAGTACTCCTGTTAAATAAGGAATAATTCACAACACAAAACTGCAGGAAGAATTGCTTTTATTTTGGACTTTAAGATAAGGATTCATTAATGTATTTACTAACATGAACTAAAAATGAAAAATAACTGTACAGCATTTATTAATCAGTTAATCATTGCTCACAACACTTACTAATGCATTATTACAACCCAACTAATGTTTGTTATCATTAGTTAATGCACTAAGTAAATGAACCAACAACAAACAAATTCTATTTATTAACCTTAACAAAGATGAATAAACGATGTAATAAATTTGTGGTTAGTTGTTTGTTTATGTTAGTTAACATAATACAACCTTATTGTAAAATGATACTGTATTTATCGAGCACTTTGATTTTTAAAACATCATAGACTTTAACATTCACAAACAGCTACATTACAGGTAAGGTAATCAGCAGGGACACTCATTTGTTTTGACAAAAATTGTATTGAATAACTGAAAGGATGCAAGAGACCACACTTACCTGGCAAACGGATGAGTTTCTGTGAGGTCATGCTGTCTACATGTGTCTTCACGCGAGGAGCCTGTCCAATTTGCTTCAGTGCCTGCCAAAACCCACATACATTTCAATCTTTAGTTTTAGGGGTGATACAATAAAACTGCGTTCTAGTGTTTAGCATTTATTGTTTTAAAATCTGGTCTTAAAACTTTTCAGAATGGCTTTTAGGTGATTTCTTGGTGTCTTATGTAGGATGTTAAATTTACCTTTTATAATCATATTTTTTAGGTCTTTTTTCCTTTGAATCTTTACCTTAAAAAAAACCTGTGAATGGCTTTGGGATATACCATTAAAAGCGCTATAGAAAATAAAGTTTAAAATAATAATAATCATAATAGTTGTTGTTATTTATAATTATGCTTTATTTTGTTCTTTCTATACATTTATTTTTATCTACTAATAAATATTAATTATTGTTACAAATACAATAATATTAATAATAATTAATAATTTTAGAATGATTTTCTATTAATATTATAATTATTATTGTTGTTATTACTATTAATAATGAATAATAATAATAATAACAACAGAGACTTATAAAACTATTTATTATTATTTTAAAGTAAACGATTATTATTTATCGATACATAACAACAATAATAGTAATAGTAATAATAATAATAAATATAATACAAAAAATAGAAAATATATTTAAAATAATACATTAAAAATAATTATGTATTAATAAATACATAATAATAATGATGATTATAAATAAAAATAATGACAATAATAAATAGTCATAATAACAATATATAATAATAATAAATAAATAATAATAATAAGAGCATGTATATAATAACAATAATACTGTAAGAGCATCCCAACTTACTTGAACAAAGAGCTTAGTGCACTTTATGTCAGTTATGAGTGGCACTGAGAAGTCAATAGCCATTCGACGAGTTCGGTATCCTTTGGTCACAAAAGAGGACAAGCGTCTTCCTCCAGAGTTCCTCATAGACAGATTGATGACCAAGTCAAAATGGTTCTCCTCCAGATAGTCCATGATGTTGCGCTGTTTGTCCTTATTTGGACAGTCACTCTCCTCTTCAAATGGCCAGTCCACTGCCATTACCTAATTAGACACAGAATAACACATTGAAATTGTATATCTGCTAATTTTTTATAAATTTAATTAAGCAAACAAGTTGCTGTACCTTGACTCCATGTTCAGTGTAGAAGTCAGCAGTGCCAAGACTTGCATACAAGTTATAACCCAAACTCTCCAAAGTCTGTACTGTGGGCAGCAGCTCACTCTTATTCTGAAAGAATTTAAATTGAAGATTTTATTGCAACCTGAAAAGATTTATACATGAACCAGATTCATACATCGTCTGAAGAAAGTGTCTAACTGTAGTACAGTTAATCATTTAAATTGATATTCTTCTAACTTTGCCTGCCCAGCACTTTGGATCCAGTGATGGTGTTGAAAGTGCTTTATAAATAAAGTTTGAGTCGAGTTGTTGTTGTTAATTTTTATGGTGTGGTGTTGATATTGTAGGTAGATAAAAATCAGGGGTTTTAAATGCATTAATACATGATTGCTAAATGGTCTGGGAGTCTGCTGGTGTGCTGCCTGGTGGTTGTTTACTTGTCCAATTGAAATAACCTTTCACAGGCCCTTAATACAATGCAAATGTGTCTTTTTTGTGGGTTTTAACATCTGCCAGGCAAAAAAGAAAAGAAACTTGCTTAAACTCAGATTTTTAAAAATTTATCAAACAAATCAACATCTGATTTGGAAATATTCATACCAATCAGTAGAGTATGTCCCAGATTTAGGGATAAACCTTAAAAATTGAACAAAATGGTGATGCTTTGCTAACTTAAAACATCTATTATCATAATCTTTTAGCCCCACCCCTACTACTAAATAATAATAATAATAATCAGATAATTGCAATAATAAAAACAGAACTTTCAATAATGTGAATTAGTCATTCACGGCCACCTGTAGAAGATGCATCCTTTCCTCTCCGTAATCACCAGACACTTTCTTACAAACACTTAATCTTAATAACATTGTGTGATCCCAAGTGTGCTTCACACAAGTGAGTGGGCTTAACAAACCACATGATACACACCCTTCTCTCATTCCTCTCTATATGCAGCACATATTTTCTTACTAACAGTCCATAATAGGGACTCCATCCATTTAAAAAGCTTAGACTTTATGACATATACAGTGCTTAGAGCATATAAAAGTACACCCCTTACTAATCTATCTTTTAAATTCATATGCTTAATAGGAAGCTATACAATATTATATTTGCGCATATACATTAGATTAGTCAGTACTGAAGCCAAATTTGGAGCTAATCTAACAAAATAACTCACAATAACTGTCCAAAAACTAGTACACACAAATTTATGTTATAGAAAAATTTAATTAAAAAAGGAGGAAAAATCAAAAGCAAAATGAAAAAAAATATTGAAATTTTGTAGGCTGTAATTTCTTTTTGCAATATTTTGCTTGAATTTAATTGTATTATCTTTTAATTTCTAAATATGTTTGGCGACTAAAATATTACTTTAATAAACATATCGGTTTAATAAATCAGTTGTTTAAATGCGTCAAATACATTGCCTATATTCACTGAGAAATGAATAAAGATATTCATTTTCAAAATGGGCTGTACTCAATTATGCTGAGCACTGTATAATTTATACTGCTGTTTTCTGGTGATTTCTTTTATCCTCATTTATTTTTGAGTCGCTTTGAATAAAAATCATCTGCTAAATGAATAAATGTAATTAAATTAAAAGTAGTCAAATCGTATGAGTTGAAATGAGTTAATTAGATTATGAATTATTAATCAAATTAATTGAAATAATCAAATCAGACAAATCAAACCAAGTTAATATGATTAGGAATTAAATTAAGAATTCAACTCTAGTGATTTTGTTCTAATGACTCATTCGACAGTCAATTATTACCTTGTAACTACCAATAGAGAGCAGAATGTTCTTTTTAGGGATCTTGAAGCCGGTGCTAAGCATGGCTTTGAGATAGGCCTCATATCGGTTCTCCCCGAAGCAGGCCACTTCTCCAGTGCTGGTCATCTCAACACCCAAAACCACATCTGCTCCAGCCAGGCGGGAGAAGGAGAACTGAGGAACCTGAGGGTAAAGCACAAATCACAGATTATTTAAGATCTTGTTCAGTTCGATTACTAGCATAAAAAAAAATTTCCATGAAGCTCATTACCTTAACTCCAACAATGCCATTCCCCCTCATCAGCCCAACAGCTTCCACTTCCTCTCCCAAGATGACTCTTGTTGCAAGCGCGACAAGATCCACACCAAGTGTTTTGGACACATAAGGGAAGGAGCGCGAGACTCGCACATTGCACTCGATCACCTTCAGCTGATCATCCTGTAGACAGACACACATATTAGGCTATGATTATACTAGAGCTTTTTTTTATTTTATTTTTTTTATACAAGTCTGTTTTGTTTGGCAGCCAGATTACTCAGACATTTTAACTTTTAAAAAAAGCAACTTGAGACCCTGTTTTAGATAAGAAGCTCCAGCGATACATTTTATCGTAGCTATCCCAAAAAGCAGATTTATTTTTAAAATGTAGACCTGACTGTCTACATCCTTTCCCTGATTTGCTCTTCTGGATAATTGATTATGCTTCCCTGATTCGCCAAACCCTTTCTCATACAACCATTATGCTAGAGGTTGTTTTATTTGAGGTCTGGTCATTACAAAAAGACCAAAAGAACAAAAAGTGGAACCTGTGTTTCCAGATTTAAAAATGCCACTTGGTTTTTATTCTGAGTTTATGCAAATAAAAGACAAACTTTTATTTTGTATGACACCTTACCAGTTTTACCTGCATAACCAAAAAAATAGTAGTAAATAATAATATTAAAAAATAATAGTTTCCGCAATATTTTGTGAGCAATTTTATATTCAATTTTTTAACAATGTAACATTTACTAAAGCATTATTAGAATAATTGCATTGGTTCCAAATGAGAGATGTTAAATTAGCTTCTTGCTATGAGGTTTAAAAAGTATGTCATTAGGCTATAATTTTTATTTGATGCATTAACTGTATATGAAAATGTTTTAACACTATTATAAATTAAAGTATTTGCTACTTAGACTTAAACATGAATTGTCTGCCAATAAAATTTAATGCAAGATGCATGTTGCTCACATATTACAACTTTGTGTTTTATTTAATAGTCATATATATACACTTTTGTACAATAGTTACTTATTTTTTCTTATATTGTTCTGTTCTGAATAAAGGGATTTAAATGCTGGCTGGATTTTAAGATTAAAAATGGAAATTGCTGCAGCCATCTTAAACATTATGTTTTGTTTCTCTCATTCAATGCAATCTTATTAGTTTATAAATAAATCCTGATTTAAAGTTTAAGTTAAAATTTTTACATTTATTTAATATCGCATAATGTAATGTAAATACACTCTAAATGTACTCCAATTCATAGCTAGTTCTTGCTTCTAAAATTATTTTTGTTGTGTGTACAGAGCGAGATTTTTCATAAACATAGTGGATAAGGCTGTATTAAGACGAAATTGCATTTGTATAAATATAGCATTTGTTTCAGAAGCAAATATCTGAGAAACACATCCTAAATGTAATTTAAAGGCAAGTAACCAACCTTGGCAATGAGCTGCAGGTTGAACGGGCCAGTGACCTGAAGCTCCTGCCCAATAGCATGAACGATCATCTTAATGCGCTCCATGGTTTTCTGGTTAATGTCCTGTGGAGGAGTCACCAGTGTGGCGTCTCCAGAATGAACCCCTGCGTTCTCCACATGCTCAGAAACCGCGATGGCAATAACCTCTCCATCACAGGCCACGGCGTCCACATCAATCTCCTGAGAGTCAAAAACACCATCAATAAACATTACTAAACTGACAGTGCCAAACATAAATTGCCATCATAATAGATTTGAACATCTTACACAGATAGACAGTGTACAATACAGGACCACAGAATTCAAAGGTTAAATAAAAGACACATTAGGAATGCTTTTAGTCATTAAATGGATAGTTTTGTATTAAAATAGACAATACTGCAAATAAATATGAATTTAAAGGAGATAAGCATGCAAGTATCTAATATAATGTGGACTGATAAGAGTACATCAGTCAATCAGTTATACAATAAACAACTATTACTGATACTGATAAACAATTAATAAACCAAATCATTTCTATGATTAACAGTTTTTTGTTTTTATATTTGTCTGCACAACAGAAATGTGTTAATTTCTTGAAGTTAGATCAAACTTTTATTTCGACAAACTTCAATTTGTTTATATGACAGTAGTTTATTGTAATGCTGGTGAAGTGAAAGTAAATTCAGTTCACATCACCAAAATCACAGAAAACACCATCATAAATGTGCCTGTGGTGAAAAACATGTCCAAACATCACAGTTTCATTTTGTGTCAACAAACGGTATAATCCAGTAATTACCTACACCTACTAATTATCTTGAATTGCCCGAAGAAAGAACGTGTCTACTTAAAACACCGGTTTTGTTGACTAACCTTGGCCTCCTGAATGAATTTGGAAATAACGACAGGGTGTTCCTTCGACACAGCAACAGCACTGCTCAGAAACTTCTCCATATCCGTGTCTGAGTAGGCCACGTTCATCGCAGCTCCGCTCAGAACATATGATGGCCTCACCAAGCAGGGATAACCCACCGTCTCACAGAAATTCACAGCAGACTACAAGAGAAAGAGTCGACGGTTATTTGAATAACAAGCAAATATCCAGATTTTTTCTAATTAACTTACAATAAATTAAACAACCAGCAAAGTGTTCAAAAAGAAAAAAAAAACTGGGTACAGTATGCTGACATTCCTCTGGTGACAGTTCATCCATCAAACTTTACAAGGCAACTTATTAGAATTGGAAAAAAAAAAAAAAAGAAAAACTTTTTTTGGCAGACCAACTAAAATTCAAAACAGGTTTTTCCACACCAATACTACAGACATGTTGAAAATTGCTTTTACAGATAAAATTGTAATAGTAATTTCATGTTGACCCTTTGTATTGTTCAGACTTACCATTGTTCAAATGTACTACTCTTATTATGTTGGTAGCGGTTTTTGTCCCATTGACTTCTATTATAATTACAGTTTGATGGCAAAGCCCTGTAACCATATAATCATGCATTCCTGATTGTTGGTGGTTTTTCCTGTTGGGATGAGGTCAAATTTGCAATTATAAAAAATTTTCTTGGTAACTTTTACTATGGTGCCATGGCTTTGCAATCAAAACATATCTTTAAATTGAAAGGTAATGGGGCAAAAACAGCCACCAAAATAACAAAAGGGTAGTAAATTTGCCTAGAGTGTATTGTTAAGGTCTTTTTTTTTTACTTTTTTTTTTTACGTTCTTCATCTTAGGCATTTTCCCAAAATAGATGTCAAAATAAATAAAGTACATAAATTGTCACTAATTATAAGTAAAACAAAGGTTATGTTATTTGAGAAATAAAAAGCAGTCACAATATAGATTTAAAAATTGATAATAAAGTATTAGAAAAAGTATATCCAATCAAGTCTTTTGGTGTTGTATTGGACCATAAAATTAGTTGGAAATCGCAAATAAATAATGTGATATCAAAATTGGTAAAAACAGTAGCAATAGTGTATAATGCAAGAATAATCATGGACAATAAATCAACACATGTAATATATAACGCACTTATGTTGCCATAAACGACTTATTGTGTTGAAATTTGGGGGAATACATATAAATCTAACTTACGATGTGGGGTATTCGGAGCGTATAAATGCTTTATTTTTTAAATTGAAGATACTTAAGTTCAATGATTTGTTAATTTAAAACAGTACAAATAAGTTTAAAACTAGGAATAAATTACTTTTAAAATGCATACAAAAGTTTTTGAACAAAGACAAGAGGGATATAATCTGAGAGAAGAGCAAAATTTTAGGAGGTTGAAAATGAGGACAACTTTAAAAGATTTGTGCATGTCTGTATGTGGTGTAAAATTATTGAACAGTCTAGAACAAATTCTCAAACGATATTAGGATATTAATCCTTTTAAAAAGTTGTATAAATTTATATTGTTAAGAGAATATAATGATGAATAGAAGTGGTTGAAAAAGAACAAAATGAGAAAGGTTTAATGAAATTTCAATTAAAGGCTATTTGCAATACTATGTATTTTTTGGGGTCGATGTTATAAAATGTAAATGTACAAATGGAATCAAACATATAATATGTCAAAGATGCCAAAAGGATAAAAAATGTCTCATGTAAATGTGTGTGATAATGGGGTGGGAAAATAATAAGCTTGTGCTTCATCCCGCCCCATTTCGACCATGTTGAAATGTATTTTGTTTAATGTTTAATGAATTGTTGTGTATGATTTTTTCTGTCCGAAATAAATACATCAAATCAAATCAAAGATGCCACCAAAAATCATTCCATTTGCTGAAACACAGATAAATTTGTGGCCAAATTAAGACTCAAAAATCATCCCAGAGAAAACATCCCCAAAAGCATACAAGGGTTAAAATACCAAATCATCTTTATGTAAAATAATTTTGTATTTTAGGTCCTTATTGTTTTTGTTTGTTACAATACAATTGAATTTATTATTTGTTTTATTATAATTTTTATGTGGGAGTCAGGATTCAAATTATATGAATTTTGGATATTATCTTATTACTTATTGTAAGTTTCTGTCATGTTATTTTAAAATAAATTGTGCCCAAAATGGAAGTGCAGGCCAAATTTTTAAAAACTGTAGATGAATGCAAAAAAAAAAAAAAAAAAAAAAAAACGTTGATACTTATCACTTCACACTACACTTCCGGTGTCTCACTGGTATTTATCGCATGAATACAAGTTGTAAAAGATTAAAAAGTTGTATGAATTTCTTTTTATAGTTTACCTCAGTATCAGAGAGCTCTTTCCACCGAGGCTGGCTGATCCCGATGGTGTCCAGCATTCTGGAGAATTTGAAGCGGTTTTCCGCATTGTCTATGAACTCAGGTGAGGTGCCCAGGATCCTGCACTGCTGTCTGTGAAGGGACATGGCGATGTTATTGGGCAGCTGCCCACCCATAGACAGAATAACACCCTCTGGATTCTCCATCTCATAGATATCCATCACCACCTGTGATTAAAACCAAACAAAAGTTTTAGTATTTTATTCACATACTTCTATATTTTTATTATTTATTATATAATCTAAATGTAAATATAATTATAATTTAAATAAATTTTACTGTTAGTGGTTTTAACATACACGAAGCAAACTATAAATATAATAATATAATATATATTATAACATAATATTAATTATTATTATTAATATTATTATTATGGTAATAATAATAATAATAATTATCAGTCATAATCATAATCATCACAATAAAACAATAATAATTACTGCTGCTTTAAAGTAACAACATTCCTTTAACACCCTCATTAAGTTATAAAAAATTTGGATGCCTTATTATTATTTTTTATTATTATTATAACAATACTCAGTCATCATCCTCATCATAATATTAATAAAAATGTTAGGGTTAATAATGATCATGTTAATAGTAATAATAATAATAATGTTTAAAATAATCATAATAATAATATAAAAATTATACGCCATGCATAAATTAAAATTTAAATACAAAACTATAGATTTAACCAATTTGGAGATCACAATCTTATACAGTACACTATGTATACCATGCAGAAATAAATATCCAGTATAAAACTGATGTCAAATATAGTAACGCATACACTATTTTTAGAGATAATTAAAGAACAAAAAAAAGTTTTTTTCTAATGATAACCACACAAGATGCATATTTAATTTATTTACCTCAAAGGAGATCTCATCAAAATACAGTCTATCACACATATCATAATCAGTGCTGACTGTTTCCGGGTTGTAGTTCACCATAATGGTTTTATATCCCATCTGTAAGATAAATCATGTGTTAAATAAAAAATAAATAAATAAATCACATGAAAGTCTATTTTTTTTGCCCTTAATACAGACGGCTGACCTTTCTGAGTTCCATAATACACCCAACAGCACACCAGTCAAACTCCACACTGCTGCCAATGCGGTAAACCCCGGAGCCAATCACCATGACATGTGGTTGCTCGAACACTACGTCACTTTCTGAGCCGTGATATGTCAGGTACAGGTAGTTGGTTTGAGCGGGCCACTCTGCAGCCACAGTGTCGATCTGTTTGACCACTGGAAAGATCTTCCAGTCCCGTCTCAACTTCCTCACAGCCAGTTCAGTGCTGCAGTGAGGAAAATAGCACGAATCATGCTTAAGAATGATGCTTTTTGTTTAAGTGCCAATGTTTTTTGTTTTAAAGGCTACTAATTTAACTTTTTATATTTTTGTTTTTTCAGTAAGAACATCTATCCATGGTCAGTTCTGATTTCTGATTAAAAAGACATTATATACATTACAGCATTTTTTTCTTATTGTGTAGAAATGGCTTGTTCAAAAATGTCTTTGAGGTTCTGATTACACCTAATATTAAGATGCAATCAGACAGATTAAACGAAAGTGGACTGCTATACTTAATACATGTGTAAATGGGCTCTAAATGTTTAAAGCTTGTCAACATTTGACCCTTACCAGGGGTGGTTTAAATTTTTTTTATGTATTTAACAGGATTGCAGCTGGAGGGTAAAAATGTTCCCTCAACGTTCCCATTAAGATATATAATAGTTTTCTGAATGTTCTTAGAAGGTTCAAAACTTTTATAAGATGTAAATTTTGGGATAAAATTATGATATTTAAAATGTTCTCATAACATTTTAGTCTCTGGTTATAATAATAATGTTTTAATAATGTTATTAAAAACTTTTTTAGAATATTTCATCAACATTAATGTCCTTGGAACATTTTTCTATAAACGTTACAAGAATGCTCCAGAAAAATTATTTTTGTACACGCTAACATTTGCAAAACTTTAAGAAACAATGAAATGTTCTTAGAACTGCACAGGGTCAAACAATAAATAAATAAATAAAAATGTTAAAGAGTTTAAATTTGCTGATTTGCTGAAATGTATTTATCGATATACAATATAAACATGTTAAAACAATATAAAATCTGCATTAGGGTAAAAGGAAAGAAAATAAATGCCACATTTTACTTGCATTAAAATATATTAAATAATATGTGTTTAAGTTTTTTGGACTGTACAATACTTATTGTTTGGGCTTATTTCACAATATTAAATTTAAAACATCATTAACTTTTCTTTTTTTTAAGTCTACAGTAATGGGCCTCCCACATAATGCGTTCAACCTAAATTCATCTTAATACAAGGTGTAGACAGAACCTGTTCGTACCCTGCTCTGATTGGCCAGATGGCCAGCATGTTGTGGTTGGTCACTATTTACGAAGCCTCTCAGAAACAACTATCAACATCTTTTTTATAGGTAGTCAATAGTCTGCCATTATGCAAATTAGTTAAACCACAAATGACAGAGCAGGAAGTAAAGCTCAAATTACTGATAACTTGTGTTAGTCAGTTATAATGGTACTCCGTTTATCATGCTCTGCTGAATCTGAAACCTTGCAGCTACAGTTGAAGTCAGAATTATTAGCCCTTTTGAATTTTTTTTCTTTTTTAAACATTTCCCAAATGATGTTTAACAAAGCAAGGAAATTTTTACAGTATGTCTCATAATATTTTTTCTTCTGGACAAAGTCTTATTTGCTTTATTATGGCTAGAATAAAAGCAGTGTTTAATTTATTAAACACAATTTTAAGGCCAAAATTATTAGCCCATTTAAGTTTTTTTTTTATAGTCAACTGAACAAATCATCATTAAACAATAACTTGCCTAATTACCCTATCCTGCCTAGTTAACCTAATTAACCTAGTAAAGCCTTTAAATTTCACTTTAAGCTGTATAGAAGTGTTTTGAAAAATATCTTGTAACATATTATTTACGAGTAAAATTTAAAAGAAACAAAATGTACACAATTTAGTTGAAATGCTTTACTATGTAACTTTTTCCAATATTTTGCATGAATTTAAATTTATTATCCCCCCCCCCACTGCACCACCACACACACACACACACACACGCACACACACCCACACACCCGCACACACACACACGTAATAATAGTACATTCCTACCTTTGCACAGCTTGAGCGATCTGTTTGTCAGAGAAGCCCAGTTGCTTGGCTTTCCTCATGATTTCTGGAGGCATTGCACTCTCATCCTGCTTATACGTCTCCAGAAGCTTCTTGTGGTCTGCGATGTTCTTCATCTTATGCAGAAACCAGTGGTCTATCTTGGTCAGCTCATAGAGCCGCTCTACTGTATATCCAGCATGCAGAGCAGCTGCCAGAACAAAGATGCGCTTGTCTGTGGGAGTCTGCAACTCCTGAGAAACAAGACAAAATATTCTATAGTTAAGTTTTATGCATTTGTTTACAAGCCTAATGCACAAAAAACATGCATCTCCTTTGGAAGTAAGATTAAAGTTTTGAAACTTAAGTACCCACCTCTTCCGACTCTGGCTTGATGGTGTGATCGAATCCAACGCAGTTCTCATCTACCATTCTCAAAGCTTTCTGGAAGGCCTCTTCAAAGCTGCGGCCGATGGCCATCACTTCTCCTGAGATGAAAGAGAGTGCTGGATGAGTTCTCTATATACTGGATACTTGTGTTCAGCACAGATAGCACCTTCTCAATGGCAAAGGGAACAGGCTAAAATTTTACAATCTTAAAATTCATAATCTTGTTTTAATACATTGATACTTTTCCTTTGCTAGTGAAACATTTAGAGACTCAACATAATACATATTTATCCTGCTATTTTTTTCTATTAAATTCATCATTTCTATAGTGCTTTTACAATGCTGATTGTGTCAAAGCAGCTTAACATGGAAGTTTTAGTAAATTGAAACTGCTTTAGTCCAGTTTTGCCAGTTGAAGTTCAGTTTAGTGCATTGTAAGGTTCACTGCTGAAAAGCCAAAACCCTGAATCCAATGATATGCAGTTCTAAACCAAAAATAGCCAATGACGAGGAAAAAGCTTCACCAATTGATAAGAGTGTAGGACCAAAAACACACACAAAAAAAACTCACCAACACTCTTCATGGAGCTGCCTATTTTAGTGCTGACTCTGAGGAACTTGCTTAAATCCCAGCGAGGAACCTTCACCACGCAGTAATCCAGACTGGGCTCAAAGTTGGCGGTTGTGGAATTAGTCACTGAATTTCTGGAAAATAATCACTTATAAGCAACTTGCAACAAGATAACAATACACAAATGTGCAGTTAGAGTCAATAAAACAGCAAATGTTAATAAAAGAACTCACTTGAGCACGGGCAGAGGGATTCCCAAGCTGAGTTTAGCAGCCACGTAGGCCAGCGGGTAACCTGTGGCCTTACTGGCCAATGCAGAGCTTCGAGAGAGACGGGCATTGACTTCAATGATGTAGTACTGTTAAAAAATAAAACATTATTTCTTAAAACATTAACTTAAAAAATTATAGGACAGACCGGTCATTGATTTTTTTTGAGGTGTTAGTATAACTAGTGTAAGAAATATGCAAGTTTTTGTGCAATATGCACAAATATAAAAAAGCTTGGGTGCTCCAAAACAATGCCATAATTTACTTTAGAAAACTGTAGCTGTTTCTGAAATGGCACACTATACACATTACACTTATGCACTATGTACTTATGCAGTTACACACTCTACAGCATAGTATATGCATGTAATGTCTTCTCAAATGGAACACTAAAGTTTTTTACTAAGCAGAAATTGAAACAGTTTTACAGATGACGTTTGACAGTCAAACTACCAAATAATACCTGCTATGAGCATAACCACATTCACCATTGGGAGGCGCTACAATTACTCTCATAGAAGAATTTTGCTTTTACAATCTAAAATAAAGTAATCCAATAACAGTGCTTGAAAGCTCCACCTCTTCCGTTACCAAGTGTCCAACATTTCACACTTGATTTGAACGGTTGAATAAGTGCATCGTCTGGGTATTTAGGTACACTTAATCTTAGAGTTCAGTGTAAACGCACTACTTGCACTATACTACAAAATGGCAAAGAATAGTGCATAAGTATGCGATTTGGGATGCACCTTTAGTGCGCCCGTCCACTGTTGAGTTTTCACGAAGCTGAAAATGTCAGCGACCTCAGTTGAGCACTTCAATTATTGCATTTTGCTTTTCCAATTATTGGAGATTTTAAAGGTCCCATGGATTTAAAATAAAGTTTAGTTGTTAGAATCAGTATTATTAGTTTTTAGGACATCTACAAGCTAGTGTGCACCAAAACAGTGACACATTCACATTTGAAGATAAAAACTGATACAAATATGTAAAACTTGTTTGTCACTTCCGCCAAAATCTCATGTCACCTCATACTTCAGTTTCTCATCAAATCTGGATCAATCGAATGCTATCTAGTTTCTGACATGCCCCACCCCCTTCAAGATGCTTCACATTTGATGGAGTTGAGCTCAACCTCTCTTAGTGGCACAGAGGTGATAAGAGGTAAAAATGCTATTAGCTGCTATTTAAAAGGGGAGAAGCTACACTGTGTACCATCCCTCTTCATGTACTGGTTGAGATTGCGTTAAACTGAATGAAAATGCACATTTCAAATCATTTCACGAGACCTTTAAAAAACTGAAAGTTCTCAGCACTTGCCATAAACCTGAGAAAATAAACACTTCGGTGGACATGCACCTTTAAGCATTCAAAACTTTGTTTCTCCCTTCTGCCAAAAAAATCAACATTTTATAACATCAAAAAGCACTTCAACTTCTAATCAGAACTACTGACAAAAGAAATGCTCACTATAATCTGAAATATCGCATCCCCTGTAAGACACAACTAAAATCAGTCACTTATTCTTGCATAACTGAGTGTTCGATTAAACATAAGAAAATAATAAGATGGTTACCAACACTGTATATATGCTGTATGTTAAAGTGGAGAAATGGTTAGGCAGGCTCAGCACTGCTATTATAGATTGTAGCTGTTATTAATCAGATGTGCTTTAGCTCAACCAGTTAAGCTAGGATATGAATGAAATGCTAATGTTTCAGATTAAAATATATGTCACAAACACAGCTGCGCATCTCGGGGCACCTTTTAAAGCTTATTATTGGAAGATATAAAAGACTAAATCACCTGCTCTGATTCAGGATTCAGGGCATACTGAATGTTGCACTCTCCCACAACACCCAAGTGGCGAATAACTTTGATGGCTGTGTTTCTCAGCATGTTGTATTCATAGTCGTTTAGTGTCTGACTAGGAGCTACCACTATGGACTCTCCAGTGTGAATTCCTAGAGGATCGATGTTCTCCATGTTACACACCTAAATAAAAATTAATAAGTTTAGAAAAAGAACAGAAATGACAACACACACTGTTAAAATTTGTAAATGAGAATGTCAGAATGAAATGGAAAGCATGGCTTCATACCGTAACACAATTGTCATAGGCATCCCGCACTACTTCATACTCAATTTCCTTCCAGCCTTTAAGCGATTTGTCAACCAGGACTTGTGATGTGTGGGCAAAGGCCTGAGTGACCAACGTGATCATCTCATCTCTGTTATTGGCAAAGCCTGAACCCAGTCCACCCAAGGCAAACGCAGAACGGACCAGAACCGGATAACCAAGTCTTTCAGCTGCAGCCACTGCCTATTTAAATCAATGAGAATATTTTAACAGTAATTAAAGCGAGACAAGTTTATTTATATAGCACATTTCTTACACAGTGGCAATTGAAAGTGCTTTACATAAACAGGAATTAAAAACTTTTTTGGTACCTATTAATCTATTGGACGTCTCTTACAGATTTAATTTTTCACCTAAAATCGAAAAGTTAAGCTTTACAGCTCTAATTACATCTGTACATCTAATTACGATAAGTACATCTGTACATATTTATAAAAATCAAATAAACGCAATAAAATGCAATAAAAAACTAAACAAAAATAAATAAATACTTTTATTAATTAATTAATTAAATTATATTACAAACAAATAAAAATAAACGGTTGTATGTCAATATCAATAAAACTTTTGAACAATATATGAAAATATATGAAAATGTGTATTATTTTTTAAATAACAAAAACAATCAGCTGGTTAAATGTCAACAAATGCCAATAATAATAATATCAACAACAAATACATCTAAATAAATAACAACAATCTAAATAAGTTGAAGTTTACCATAAATTTGATAATTTCAGCTTCAGTACAAAAAGACAACGAAAAGCTTATTATTTACTTGTCAAAAACTAATACCCATCTAAAGCTTTAGATCACATTATTTCTTACAGTATTTGTCGGCCTTTCTCTCTCACATAATTGGAAATCCTTCACACATAAACATTTGTGATCCCCTGATACTGACAATACAGTTAGAAGCTAACCTGTTCAACAGACATGGCCGCCTCACTGGGGGCGACATGCTCGTTGATTTCCTCCATCTTCTCCACAAAGATCTTCCTGTCTTCTGTCATCTCTATGGAGGCCACTGGGGTACCAAGCACACGCACTTTGTATTTTTCCAGCACTCCTTGTTTTTTGAGTTCCACACCACAGTTCAGGGCTGTCTGACCTCCGAAAGTGAGCAACACCCCATCTGGACGCTCGTTCTTTATCACCTGCGTGAATTACGACAAGATTCTTGACCTCGGAAACTCATTTAGTTTAATTTTTTTAATGCATTTATTTATTTTTAATTTGTAAAGAAAACATAGCCTAAAAAAACAGAGAGCTGAGTTTTTCCTACCTGTGTGACGTACTCTGGTGTGATCGGAAGGAAGTAGACTTTGTCTGCCAGGCCCTTTGAGGTTTGTACTGTGGCAATGTTTGGGTTGATGAGAATGGTTTGGATATTCTCTTCTTTCATAGCTTTTATAGCCTGGTTGAAAAAAGAAGACAAACATACATGCACATAATAAATTAAATGCATTACATGGATGATTAGATCTCTGACAACAAACAAGTCTCAAACTAATAGAGGAAACAACAATAAATAATAATAATAATAATAATAATAATAATAATAAATTATTATAATAATTGTTGTTTTTTTTATTGTAACAATAATATTGTCAACTTATAATGATCAAAAACAATGTAAAAAAATTATGAAGCTAATAAGGTTATTATTATTAATGCTAATTATGTTAAATAAGCTAATTATGAAATGTTTTCATAATTAGCAAGTGAAGCAGAATTAGCATAATGAAGTGCAGCGTGGAGCTTAAAGGTACTAAGACACACTGAGCAGAGTTCTTCTGATTTGTCCACTGCTTTGGAACTGAGAGTGAACAGATTAACAGCTGAGTGTAAAAGCTCTTTAAACTTGATACAGCATCTAAAAAAACAGCTACTTATCAAGAGTGTGTTTAAAAAGATAAAGTAGAAGTGGTGCATTAGAAAGGAAAAACACATTATAAGTGAATGAACCCTAAACAATCTCAATGGCTGCTTTTCTTTGACCCTCACCTGAGATCCAGAATAGTCAAACTCTCCAGCCTGTCCAATGGAAAGACCACCTGAACCCAGAACCAGAACTTTACGTGGTCGAACAAAGGCATTTGGGTCAGGAGATCCAGGAAAGGTGAGGTGCTCCATTAATCTTTGCTTCACTGTTAAAACAATAGCAGTTTATGGATAATTATTACTTAATCATGTAAAAACAATATGAATGTATTTAATGTTGACAGATCAAAAATATGCAAACAATTTAACTACATAGGACCAGATCACCTGATTTTCCAGCCTTGTTCTCCTTTACATCTCTGACTGTATCCAGAAACACATCAAAGAGACCAACAAGGTCTGTGGGACCTGCCATGTGTTCAGGATGGAACTGGACACTGAAAAGCAAAGTAGTTTTAATACATTTAAACAAGGTTTATACTAATTTATACTTTATTTATGCAAACACAAATTAGACATTGTTTTTATTTACCGCTATATCAGCAACCTATAGCAATTTCATGCCAAGATCAAAACAGGAAGACAGATTACATAATGATGACAGCTTTGTAAATCAAAGAGAGTGTACACAACGAAGACGACACGGGGGCACAGTAGGTAGTGCTATCACCTCACAGCAAGAAGGTTGCTGGTTTGAGCCTTGACTGGGTCAGTTGGTGTTTCTGTGTGGAGTTTGCATGTTCTCCCCGCGTTCATGTGGGTTTCGTCCGGGTGCTACGGTTTCCCCCACAGTCCAAAGATAAGTGGTACAGTTGAATTGGGTAAGCTAAAATGTCTGTAGTGTATGTGTGTGAAAGTGTGTATGGATGTTTCCCAGAGATGGGGTTGTGGCTGGAAGATCATCTGCTGCGTAAAAACATATGCTGGATAACTTTGCAGTCCGCTTTGGCGACTACAGATTAATAAAGGGACCAAGCCGAAAAGAAAATGAATGAATGAATTATACAACGGAAAAAAAAAACCTCAAATTTTATAATAAGAAATAAAGGCTAACCTGAAGAGTGGTTTGTGATTATGAACGATGCCCTCGCTGGTTTGGTCATTAGCATTGGTGAAGAGCACATCCCAGTCCTTTGGAAGAGTTTCTGGATCCACAGCAAACCCGTGATTCTGAGAGGTGATGTAACAGCGACTGGTTCCTTTATGGATGCATGGCTGATTATGGCCACGATTACCGTACCTGAAATTCACAGAGACCATAAATAAAGCTTGTAATATTCATAGGAAAACACTTCACAGACTATAAACCATCTCTGAATGAACCCTTTGACTGTCCGCTACTGAAGAAAGAGATGTGGACTGGCATCTCATTCGGCCTTGAGCACAAGCAAACAAAGCAAGTATCCCAGGACTCTTAGGAAAACACAAGCGGTTCACTCAACTGCTGAGCTCAGCATGAACCAGATTTCACACTAGAAGATCTGGAATGTCATGGGAAGAAAGAGCCATAGCCAAACACTATAATCCACTGACTATTAACTTATGATACCTAGTTCAAGAACACTAATTTTCAATTATTTTTTTAACCAAAAACAGAGAAATCCACATTATTTAAAAGGAAATTAACATTATTTTAGTAGGATTAATAACATATTAACGCATTCATGCATCACTTATATATTTAAGATAAATCTTAATATCTTGCAGTTAAAAAAAAAGAAAAGTTATTTTTACAAATCATTTCTTTGATTGAAATGAAATTAAAATTCATTATAAAAATTGTCTCAACTTTAATTCTTTCCATATGTAATATTTAAATAATGACTTTATATTGTTTTTTATATAATACTTATATAATATACTTATATAATACTTATAACTACTAAACAATATGTAAATATACAACTACAAAACTTGACTTATTTTATTCTGTGGAACAGTGAACACTGAAAATAACATCTCAAATTGTGGTTCGGTTCACAAGGTTTTTCACAATACCTCCTTTTCTTATGTCAACTAAAATTCATCAGGTTTGGAAAGATGTAAGAGGAAGTGTATTTTGAATTTTGAATCAATTAACCCTTTAAAAAGAAATGTGCATTAGAAGTCAATGGAAAATACCATTAAAAAAAATGTATTAATTAGATGATGACTTACTTCATTTTGTATGTCTTTGCGCCAATGACCAAAGACAGCAGCTGATGGCCCAAGCAAATTCCAAAGATAGGTTTGGGATTCTCCACACATGCCACTTTGCGTATATTCTCTACAGTCTCCTTACAGTACTCAGGATTGCCAGGACCGTTGCTGATAAACAACCCATCAAAGTCTAGAAAAAACAGAGGCAACATGCCCAGTGATAACATTTTCAATATGCATTTACTAGGGGAGTGAAATATTGATACAAATTATTACTTATCAATTTATGTAATCATTTTTGGGGATTCACAAAGTTTACACACAATACACCAGTTGTTTATACATTCATTTCATTTGCCATTTTCCCAGAAGACAACCCTCAACAATAGTGTTATTGTTTACCATTGCTGTCCAGAGGTTGATCCCAGGGGACAACAGTGACCCGGGCGCCTCTCTGGCACAAGCAACGTATCTGGTTGTACTTGATGCCACAGTCTATAGCAGTGATTCTCACTGTGCCCTCTGGATTAAACACTTTTGGTGCCTGTTGAATGGGCAATACAGAACACAAAAAATAAATTTCACTGCATTACACAACATCATCCATCTAAAAAACACTGAAGCTAGACACCTACTTTCATGGAAACTTCTTTAACAAGGTTTCGGGCATCTGGATTGTCAAACGGAATATTGTCGGCTGGAGTTCCTTCCACCACAAGTTTTCCCAACATGGTTCCCTTCTCTCTGATCTTTTTGGTCAAGCATCGAGTGTCAACACCTGATTTTCACAGGATAAATTATGTTTTAGTTTTTTGAACCATAGTACAATGGGATTAAAATTCTTGCTTTTACTTTGTATGAATAAAAGCAAATATTTGTCAAGCAAGAGTAGTAGTGCTGTTTGTTTATTGCTATACAAGATTTATCGGATAGCAGATACAGTTGCAGTCAGAATTATTAGCCCTCCTTAATTATTAGCCCCCCTGCATATTTTCCCCCCAATTTCTGTTTAGAGGAAATAAGATTTTTTTCAACACATTTTTAAGCAAATTAGTTTTAATAACTCATTTCTAAGAACTGATTTATTTTATCTTTGCCATGACCACAGTAAATAATATTTTACTAGATATATTTTAGGATACTAGTGTTTAGCTTAAAGTGCAATTTAAACGCTTAACTAGGTTAATTAGGCAAGTTAGGGTAATTAGACAAGTTATTGTATAACAATGGTTTGTTTTGCATACAATCAAAATAAAATATTGCTTAAAGGGCCTAATAAAATTGACCTTAAAATGTTTTTATTAGATTAAAAACTGATCTTATTGTAGCCAAAATAAAACAAATTAGAATTTCTAAAGAAGAAAAAATATTATAGGAATTGCCGTGAAAAAATCCTTGCTCTGTTAAACATCATTTGGGAAATATTTGAAAGAAAATAAATTGACAGGAGAGCAAATAAGTGACTTCAACTGTGCATTAAACAAAGTAAAAAATTCAAAAACAATATGAAAGTAAAACAACTCCATACTTCAGCAAACCAAAGTAGTAAGAACAAAATTAATACAACTTTTAGTGTTTTATAGGTCCATAAATACATGCTTAAACGTTTGGGTCACACTTTAAAATAAAGTTCCATTAATTAATGCAATTAATACCAAACCAAAAATGAACAACACTTGTACAGCATTTATGGTATTAATCATTACAGCATTTACTGATGCATTGTTAAAATCAAAAGTGGAGCTTGTAAACATCAGCTAATACAAGTAAACAAGGACCAATAATGAATGAACTACTGTATTTCTTATGAACCAATATTTACAAAGATTTATTCATTGTTTGTTCATGTAAGTAACTAATGGAACCTTACAGTAAAGTATTGTCTGCCCTATGAAATAGTCAGGCAAAAACTGGAACTGACTGACCTTGGAGGCCAGGGATGCCTTGCTCTCTGAGCCACTCATCCAGAGATTTGGCGGCGCTCCAGTGACTGGGATTCTCCGAAACCTCCCCAACAATGAGAGCAGCAGCATGGATTTGGGAAGATTCAAACCACTAGATCACAAGAGAAAAGCAGCATTATATTTTGGGTGTATTTTTTAAATAAAGGCATATGTGTAGACATGAAAAACAAAAATAAACCTTGCTGAGTCCAAACTCTCCATCTTCATCTTTTGGAATACCATAATTGCCAATCATCGGGTACGTCAGAGTTAGTATTTGGGACTTGTAAGACGGATCTGTGAGTGCCTCCGGATAACCCACCATTCCTGTCTGGAAAACTGAGGACAGACATGTTAAGAGTCAGGAAGAGGAACGTCAAGAAGGCATAGGGCAGTAAAAGATTCTGCAGCATGATAGCCTTGGATAAAAATATCACAGTTTCACTGTATTGTGATCACTGCTCTACAATTTATTCTTTTTAAACGTCCGGGTGAAAAAAAACAACTTTTCTTCATTGAACACAATATTATTCATTTTAAGAAACATTTCAAATATTTTTGAACAGTAAACATGTCAAATAAATCATTGACTTCTGCTGTCTTCATTAGTTTCAAAAACACAGATTTACTGACAACTTGAAAAGGCATCTTTACTATCTTTCTTTGAAGAATATAAAGTAAAGCCAGTGCACTGTTCAGGTCTAAAGCATGCTTGGATGTTGGTGCACTATTGATTTGTTTTTCAAATGTTTGTCGATTCATGGGCTGACCAGTAGCTTTTCATGTGATATTCTGTTGCCCTAAAAATATAAAAGGAGTTGTAAAAACTTGTATATACTGTAGGAACACTTTATCAGAAATTTGTAGTGGTTTCAAACCCTTGACTCTTCCAAACCGCAGTCAACCTTGAAACCAGTTATCGCCCCATTCCTAATGTCAAAAGTAGTGTCACACCAATATAAGTAACTCACTCACTTTTTCCATAGACTTAAATGGATCTCTGATTTTTTTATATACCGTAAACAACTTCACTACATGCTTTGTAGTGCTATTGCTGTAAATGGAGGAATGGGGAGGACACTTACAGTTGAAGCCAGAATTATTAGCCCCCCTTTGAATTTTTTGTTCTTTTTTAAATATTTCCCAAATGATGTTTAACAGAGCAAAGAAATTTTCACAGTAAGTCTGATAATATTTTTTCTTCTGGAGAAAGTCTTTTTTGTTTCATTTGGCAAGAAAGATTTCGGTTTTTAATTTAAAAAAAAATAAATTTTAAGGTCACAATCATTAGACCCTTTAAGCCATATTTTTTTCATTACAGAACAAATCATCATTATACAATAACTTGCCTAATTACCCTAACCTGCCTAGTTAACCTAATTAACCTAGTTAAGCCTTTAAACGTGACTAAGCTGTATAGAAGTGTCTTGAATACATATCTAATAAAATATTATTTATGATTATCATGAAAAGAGAAAGTAAATCCGTTATTAGAAATGAGTTATTAAAACTATTATGTTAGGAAATTTGTTGAGAAAAAAAATCTGTTAAACCGAGATTGGGGGAAAAACAGGGGGGCTAATAATTCAGGGTGGCTAATAATTCTGACTTCAACTGTAAAATAAAGAAATGTGTCATTTAATATTTTAATCAAATCAATATTTAAAACAGGGGTGCCCAAACTTTTCCTTTTGAAGAGCAAAACATCTTGATTGAGGGCTGTAGGCCGAAGGTAAAAACACTAAACTGTATTACATTTAAATTTTCCATGAATAATTTCTTAATTTATTTCCTAATATTTAAAAATATCTACAAAACATTGCTTTAAATTATATGAATTAATGCGAAATTTGACAAGTTTCATAATGAAATGATTACAGTAAAAACATAAGCCCATTAACAACACAATGGAGTTCATTGCTGCCTTTGATTTGATCCCAGATGTCTCAAGCATTGTATTGATATGATAAAAATTCAGATTCATTTACAAATTATTAAACAAAAGGTTACATTATATTCAAAATGATGCTCTCTGTCAGAGATATTCGCCCCAATCTACCCTCCCCATCATTCTCCCTCTCTTTTCAAATGGGATGGTGGGCCAAATCAAAGGTTAGCATGGGCCAACTTTGGCCCGCGGGCCCTACTTTGGACATCTAGGGTTTTAAAATGGACAAATATAGAAATAAAAGTATTTAATATTTATTTTATATATAGTGACAAATGTGTTACAATAAAGCTGTAATATGCCAACTACTATTGTAAATGTGTTTAGCTTTTGTTTCCCTCTGAACATTAGAATGTGTCCTGGTAAATTAGGTTTTTTACCCTGAGCAAACTTTTTTTTTTTTAAATAGAAAACCAAAATGTCATTCAGTGAGTTTACACAACAAAACAACTTTCATCAGGTATAGTGCAGCTCCAAACCATTAGCAGTATAGTTTCACATTTTTAAACATTTCCCTTTAAGCATGATCAATTAAGTATGATCAATTACTTTAAATATTTCCACAAGTACAGGTCAGAAAAAGTATGTTTTTTCATTTTTACACAAACATATTGGTAATCTGAACAAGAATAGAACATTTATTTCCCCTATAAATACCCATTTATCTCTTAAAAGTAGACCCTACATATCATCACAAAGGTGAAATGTGATTTATTTATTTAAGGGATTTAAACATTTTACTTAAAGCACACCTGCATATAATGCTTTCCCCCACAAAAAGTGTTGCTAAAACATCTAAATGCAAATATTTTTGTGCTTTAGAGACTTTACCAACTTTATAAATTCATCTAAGTGTATACTTATAACAATATTAAACAAGACAAAAAATCATATGGTAAAGTCACCAACTAACTAACTAACTAACGTTTTGTCAACCTGCACCAAAAAGCAAACACTTCTCTAATTGTTCACTACCTTAACTTTTAAACGGTGATCCTAAAACAATGCGTGTGACGTCAGCCATGTGGCGCACACATGCCCTACGAAGGGGCTACTTTTGAGTGTTCCCTTTTAAAACATTTAGCGCGAAATCCAACACGTGTAACTTCCGGCTCATCAGCTACATATTTATCGGTCACGCATTCCGGGAAGAGGACAGAACAGAACAAGTGTACCATTCGGAGAGGTGCTGACTGGGACACATTTCATGCCAGTGCTTCTTAATTTTCACTTACCAACTTCACCAGACACTGAAGATACGGCACCGAACAGACGGCCTTTAAATGTCGTCCCGTCCTCCAGCACTAAAGATGCCATTTTCAGCGACATGACTAAACTGTTCGTATTTCTAAACACTAAGCGAATATCTAGCGTTAACAAAAAGTATAATCGAGTTGAACTGAATGACTTCTGTTTCTCCCTTATCGCCGAAGTTTGCCCACGTGAAAAGCACGCCGCGCAAGGTGATGTTCACCCGGATGCGGAGTAAATAAATGCGCCTTTTAGATGTTGTTGTTGTTATCTAGGCCAAATAGCATGCTGTCCCTGGTGTAGAAAAAGGCTCATTGGTCGTTATTGATGTTTTGAGGTGGTTAAAATCAAAAAGTGGTCCGGGTCAATGGAAAAAAAAGTCCACGCTCTGCTCCAGCAACAGTAGCGTGGAGCCGTGCGCGAGCACTCCGGCTGCTTTTATACGAGCGTCAAAAGCTGTGCGTCAGGAGCACGTCACGGAGGAGGAGGAAGATCTGCTGGCCTGCTGTAAAGGCTTCATTCATAAAAAGAAGAGATGACTTTGCTTCTGATATTGATGACATTTTAAACGGTGTGTTGTGGATTAAGTTTTTCTACTCCAAACTGCCTATATTTGAATAATATTTAAAATTAAAAATAGTGATATTGTTGAATCATTTTTTATGTTTTAAACAACAGATACATGACAATAGAACAGAGAATATAATGCCAGGGCGATAGCAGACAAATAATAAAAAAATAATAAATTAATTTTCTTGTTCGGCTTAGTCCCTTTATTAATCCGGGGTTGCCACAACGGAACGAACCGCCAACTTATCCAGCAAGTTTTTCACACAGCGAATGCCCTTCCAGCTGCAACCCATCTCTGGGAAACATCCACACACTACGGACCAATTAGCCTACCCAATTCACCTGTACCGCATGTCTTTGGACTGTGGGGGAAACCGGAGCACCCGGAGGACACCCACGCAAAGGCAGGGAGAACATGCAAACTCCACACAGAAACGCCAACTGAGCCGAGGATCGAACCAGCGACCTTCTTGCTGTGAGGCGACAGCACTACCTACTGCGCCACTGCCTCGCCCACATACAACTATACTCAGTCAGAATTTGGCCATTTGAATTAATAATAATAATAAAATAGAGCTTTGTAAAGGTACATTTGAAAAATCATGCATAACAATAGCCAAATCAGTATTCAAATTAATTTTAATATGGTCCACTTTTGGTGCTTCACAGCTTTTCATTGGTCATTTTTTTGTTTCAAGAATAAGGTCCAAGATTTAGAATAAAAGTTACATGTATAATATTTTCTTTATAACAACAATACAGTAGGTGTGTAGTGGAAGATGACGTCACTTTCATCAGATTGAATGTTTTCTTGCACAGCTGGATGTTGGACTGAATAATTGTTTGCATTGGTCAAAACTGATTAGTAGAAGTCATGACAGCCAACACAGTATTCCACTTGATCTTAAAGTCTTTATCGATGGGTTATTTGTTGGTGCATTTACATCTAATTTATGCATGTCTGTGTGTAAACGTAACATTCTGTAGTGCATCTAGTTATTGCCGGGCAGACACACAACGTCATAAGACGTTAATGTTAGGTTAGATTTAGGTTGTGATATCAGGTGACCAAAAGTCAATTTCTAGCCAGCATCTAAGGGCAACATTATTTTGATGTCTAATAACGATGTCAAATGAAATAGATATTTGGTCGATTTTAGGTTGTGGCAGAAACCAAAATCCAAACTGTCATCAGGTATGGCAACCAAAATCCAGCATCTGATAGATGTCATTGTGGTAACGTCCACACAACGTCAAGCTGTAACATCAAGCGTTGATATTTGGTTGATTTTAGGTTGGCTGTTGGACATTGACGTCGGCCTGACGTTATGTTCTAAAGTCAACCCAATTTTAATTTCCAAACAAAATGTAACGTCCCCTAACGTACAACGTCAATCTGACGTCATGTTGACATCTTGTGTATGCTGGGTGTTTAAGGGCATTCAGGTCATCATACAGTAAACATTCGACATCTTCTCATCAGTGAAATGCATCTAAACAGTCTCTGGGTCAATGCGTGTAAAGATTTTAGGCATCTTCTTGGACACTTATTATGCTTCCAAACAGTTTGCTGCTATTATAAATCTCCCGTGTCTTCAGTTAGTCCATTATGATGCGATTCACCTTCTATGTTCGATTTGATTGGACAGGTATCACAGGATGGATTTTTCTAATCCCCATAGACAGGAAATGGTAAAATAGTGACTGCAGGTTGAAGGAAAGTAGTGGAGTAAAAGTACTGATACTGCACTGAAAATGTAATAAAAGTAAAGGTGCACATTTTTAAAACTACTTAGCAAATTACAATTCCTGAGATAAGCTACTCAATTACAGTAACTTGAGTATTTGTAATTTGTTATTTTACACCACTGAAATCATTATTACGAGAAAAGAAATTTTCTTGTAATAATTACTTTTTTTTTCTCATAATAATGAAATGAGAAAATAAGTCATTATTATAAAAACATTGTCATTTTTAGATGTTGCGTTATTATTACGAGAAAGTCTTTATTATGTGAAAATATCTTATTATTAAATATCTTATGAGAAAGTGAATAATGCGAGTAAAAACCTTTATCATTATTAAGAGATGCTACCTCATTATGAGAAAGTAATTCATTATTATTACTTGCATATGATTCCTATTTAATATTATGGCGGAAACAGGCTTCCATAGTTTTTAACCTAAAACTGAAAATAAAATAAAATAAGCCTGGAAGACTTTGACCACGTCATTGCTGTTTTCATGTTTATTTACATTTGTTCATGTGATGCAAGGATTTCACAACTTTTCTTTTCCCAGTCGAACCCCTTTGACCAAAAATATTTACTTGGAGTCTCCCTGAGATTTAAAGTTAATATTTAAATAATTTATCAACATATTTGCATATTCACACAGCAGTCATATGTTGGCTAATAGTCATGCAGCTAAACAAATAAAGCATTTCAATTAAGGCTGTTCAAGTTTAAAAAAAACAAAAAACAATGAAATCATCATGAATTTTTTTATTAGCTTTTATCAACTCAAAACCCTAGATCTTACATTTATCTTAATTTCTTTTGCACATTCTGTTCCATGAGGTTGAAAATAAAAATAAAACTATAACTCCATCCAAATGTATGTTGAAAAACAAGTTAAACCTGAATCTAAAAATAGCTGCCTGAAAAAAGTAATCTTGATTCAATTATTGACAACAACTTTCATCATGTAATGTGTTATCAGTGACAGACAACAAATCGCAGGTAATCTCCCTGGGTCTGGGTAAATTACTTACAAAGTGTAATCTGTTACTGATAACAAATTACATGTTGAAAGTTCTCAGCAATGTAATTCAAAGTGGTCTGTCATTAGTAATCTAATCTGACTACTTTTGATGATATATACTTTTAGATAATTCCAACCCAAGCTTTTTTTTTTTTAAAAACACAACATGTATAACCCTAAACACTCACAGAAACCATTTTGGATTTTTTATATTTTCATTCATTTATTCATTCATTTATTTTCCTTGATCTAAGTCCCTTTATTCATCAGGGGTCGCCAGAGCCAAATAAACCGCCAACTTATCCAGCATATATTTTACACAGCGGATGCCCTTGCAGCTGCAACCCAGTAATGGGAAACATCCATACACACTCATTCACACACATACACTATGGCCAATTTAGTTGATTTAATTGTAATGTAATGTAATGTAATGTGTATTTATATAGCGCATTTATTGTGTATGGCCATACACCCAAAGTGCTTCACAATCATGAGGGGGGGTCTCTCCACACTACCACCAGTGTGCAGCATCAACTTGGATGATGCGACGGCAGCCACAGGACAATGGCGCCAGTGCGCTTCACCTATAGCGCATCTCTGGACTGTGGGGGAAACTGGAGCATGCGGAGGAAACCCACGCCAACATGGGGAGAATATAGCAATGCTAGCTACTAAACCACCATGTCGCTTTTACATTTTCAGATAAACATAATTTATTACTTTTTTAGTAATGTTTGATTATTGGTCTTACAATGAGTGTAACAAATGTCAGGCTTACTATATTTGTAGTAAACACACACACACACACACACACACACACACACACACACACACACACACACACACACACACACACACACACACATATATAATAACCTATACATTATACATTCATGCTTTATTAAAAAAAAACCACCAGAGAAAACATTCTGTACAACTTTTAATGAAATGAACTCACTGCTGATTCGTTTTGATTGATGTTTTGCAACTTCTTGCTAGTTGTAATAGACAAGAGGGGTTTCTTTGCCGTTGAGGTTTTCTGTAGCTGATTATGGGTAGGGACTCCTCTGAAATGGTCCATTAGATCCATGCCACCAAAGAAGTTCACAAAGATGATCCCCAGTTTGGCAGGCATGACACTAAATATGAACACACAGCAGGTCAAGTAATTAAGTCATTAATAGTTATTTAGGACATTTATTACATTGTTTAGGAGTTTGTTATTTTACTTTTACTAATTGTTTTAAATAGTTTTTTTTTTTATCTACACAAACAGTATATATTTTAAAGAATTCAGGAAGAATATAATAGGAAGAAAATACAGAAGTCAATGGGTACCAAAATACGGTTTCCCAAAATATCTTGTTTTGTGTTTAGCAAAAAAAAGAATCCCATACAGGTTTGTAGCAATTTTAGGATGAGTAAATGATAACTGAATTTATATGGTTTTGTTTGAATGTAATTACATTTAACTTAACTTAATTTTACATTTTAATTCAGTTTAATTTAACATTTAATTTAACATTAAATTTATTTATATATATATATACATACATTTTTTTTATTAATTTAACTTTTAATTTAACTTAAAATTTTATACATTAAAAATTATTATTTAACATTTATTTAAAATTAAAATTTAAAAACATTTTTAATTTAATAACATTTAATATTTAATTTAACATTTCATTTAATTTAATTTTCTTATTAATATTCTTTATTTAATTTACCTTAAATTAACTTTATTTAACATTTTAATTTAACATTTATTTAATTAAACTTTTAATTTAATATTTAATTTATTATTTTATTTAACTTAACATTTATTTAATATTTAATAAAGAAATACATTTAATTTAATACTTAATTTTTTTATTTAATATTTGATATAATATAAAATTCAATTAAATTTAAAGTTTAATTTAACATTTAATTTAATATTTGAATTAATTTAACATTTAATTTAAATTAACATTTAATTTAACATTTTAATTAATTTAACATTTAATTTAACATTTTAATTCATTTAACATTTAATTTAAAATTTAATTTCACATTTAATAATTTAATTTAATTGTTACATGTTGCCCAAAAGTATAAGGATTAATAAATAGATAAAAACACAGAAGTATTCATTAGTCTAAAATACCTCTTAAGTGCCATCAAAAGAGACAGACTTGATGGCAACAACAAGTACATCTTCTCCTGCAGTATGGCATCCACAATCTGTTTTGCTGCATATCTCTGCTCCAAGACAGGAAGAAAGAACGGTCTCCTTAACAAAGATAAAACATCAACATTATTTCATAATCAGAGCACTCATCTCTAATCAGATTTCATAGAAACTGTGTTGACTTACTTAGTTTGACATCCGCCAAACATGTTTGTATTAATTAAATAAGGACACACTATTGTTGTTTTGATCCCTTCCTTTTTAAGTACAAGCAGCTCCAGTGCAATAGATTCTGCAAATCTCACTGCTGCAGACTTGCTTGCACAATAGTCTGTGGATCAAAATACATGTTGGCAGTGCTACATTTTAAAATGTCTTTTGGGTGAATCTAAATGTGAGATATTGTGCATTCAGGATTATACCTGCAAGGCCATTCATTGCAAACAAGGCTCCATGGCATGCCACACACAACAGGTGCCCGTGGTCTTGTTCCAACATTGCTGGGAGAAATGCCTTGTAAGTCTGTGAATATAAACATCGAGAAACTTTTGAGATAACAGTGATCTCAGTGTTCCCATAACATTAAAAAAATGTTGAATAAAGAATTTATACCGGAGGAAAATGCTGATTTTATTTATTTATTTTTACCCAGAAATGAGCAGCAGCATTGACCCGTAGTGTCCGGTCCACCAGACTGTCAGGGGCTTCAAGAAAAGTGTATTTTCCTGATACCATTCCAGCGTTATTGACCAAGATTGACACATCTCCAACCTCCCTTTTGACCTGTTGAAATGTTTTATTAACACACATGTTATGATATTTTGTGTCAAATTAAATTGATTAACTGATATATGTACACCATTTTAAAGGCAAAGTGTCTACTTTAATATTTTCCATAAGTTTTGTGAAAATAAAATGGCAAAGTAATGGCAAAACAATGTTCCATTGCCATTTCAGTGTGAGATACATTTTTGTAAAAATAACACACTTGTTCTGACATGTACTTATTAAAAAAATTAAGAATAAGTGATCACAGAAAAATTGCATATGTTAAACTTCTTGCTGTATAAAATCTAAAAATAGTGGTGACGAAAATAAACATTTAAAATCACAATTAGTAAGTAGATTTTTTACTATAATACAGATATAACAATGCAACTTAAAAAAAAAACGCAAAGAAAAATATCAACACAAAACAAGGGAGAAAAACGGGGAAAAGTAAAGGGAAAAAAGCTCAGATTATATATAAAACAGGACTACCCCAAATGAAGCAGATCAGAGCAAGGGCTAAATGCATTAATTAATTTTCAGATAATATTGGTACAATAATCTTTTTAATATGATAGGGCAAAGACAAGTCCTTGAAAAACTTTGAAAAAAATATTCTGTTTGTTTGTGTAATACATGGGTAAGATGTTCAAGGGGAATTAACCCAAATTATCTTCTGTCAACCTAACCAACCAATTAAGTAAAACATTTTCTGGCGCCAAACGTTAATATATTATACAATTTCTTATTAGCTGATGACAAAATGTGTCCATTAGGTAATCAAAATCATTGAAACTGGGTCAAAATTCAGTTGCATGTTAAAGATCCTTTCAATTTCCCCAAGCACCAAAGACTACCTTTACATTTGACCACATACAATGTGCTAAAGTACCCACATCAGTTTTACATTTTAAACACATTATTAGAAGGGTGAATTAGAAGGGTTAAAAAGATGTCTATGGTTAGGAGAGATATGGAGACTATGTATTATTTGGGAACGAGCACCTACAGTGCTTAGGCCCTTTTGGAATTGCTCCATTTCTTCTTCTTATTCTTCCGCGGAATAAATTGCGATTTTGAGGGCCTAAACGTGCTCGAAAACTCACAAAACTTTGCACACACCCCAGAAATGTGAATATTCACATTTGATATAGGTTTCGGAAGTGGGCGTGGCAAAATGACTCGACAGCACCACCTTTGCACTTTTGATGGACTGGCCAACGAACTGCGGTTCATGCACACGCACGAAAATAATATTTTTAACTTACTGCCCCGAAAAAGTGGCATTTTTGCCATTTCCAGGCATTGTATTTTAACAAGTTCCTCCTAGGAATTTTATCCAGTCAACACCAAAATTGTGTTTTGTCACCTTAAGGCCTTGGCGATGTTAAATTGCAAAGATCTAGAGTTTTCGTAGAAGGGTGTGTCCTTGGCGGCCTCACAAACTTTGATGATTCGCCGCGAAAAAGGAAGTTGTTAAAACATGCATTGTCTGATCTGCCTCAAAATCCACACGTATGATAAAAGTCCTGACTTGAACATGTTTACATGCCAATATCCAGTCACAGATATAGCACCACCTGTTGACAGAAGCAAGTTTGGCAAAAATCTGTGATTTTCTCAGGCTTTTATATATATCGACTTAAATTAATATTGTCTGCTGTTCTCTGTCATCCTAAGGCCACCAGGCGGTGGTGAGCCTGGGTGCGAGGTCCCTTTCATCGCTGCTTGCAGCTTTGATTTTATATTGCATTTCTCTAAGTCAGCCATTTTTAATTGTCATCAAATGGGTATTTTTGTAAAAATATTAAAAAAAAAAATTAAAAAAAATATGTGATATACTTTTTTCAAATCTAAAATATGTTATATTTATAAAAATGTTAGAATTATAAAATGTTAGAATTGTCTCTATGTCCCAAAATTTATAGACCTGACTGTATAAAAGGAATGAAAAAAATACAAGAGAACAAATACGGAAAAGGAGACAGCTACAGAAATTAATGATTTGTAACAGTCAGAGTCTTAAGAAGAGTCTTTTTTATTATTTTAATACTTAAACTTTTACATATAGACTCATGTAACTTTATATTAATTATACATTAATTACATATTACCACTTCAGCAACTCTGTAGACCTCACTCCTTCGGCTGCAGTCACAGGTGTAGGCATAAACACGCACATCTAGTACTTGCTTCAACTCCTTGGCTGTCTTCTCCAGTGCCTCCGAGTTTATATCCCACAGAACTAATGTTGCTCCATAGTGTCCAAGTTCTTTGGCAATCAGTTTTCCAATCCCATTTGCAGCCCCGGTAACCAAAACAATCTCTCCCTCAACATCTTTCTTGCTACGTGGAATAAAGAATCGAACGAAGGCTTCAAAAAAGTAAAAGACAGCACCAAGAATTAGCTCAAAAATGTCTTTTATGAACCAGAGGTGGTGCAGTATTTTCTCAAAGCCCATAATGACGATGTCTGTAGTCTTTTTGGAAGAGAAATCTAATTTCACATTGCTGGTGATTATTTTTTATGCAGTTCAGTAAATCTTGATCTCAAGTACAGCTTGTTCTTCGGGGTCTTTGTATGCCATCTGTTGGTTTCCAGTCACAATGCATTTGTTTGACCTGTCACCTAGAGTAAATCAGAGTTAATTTTAGAAGTTGCATGTGGTCACATTATAATGATGCCACATGTATGAGGTTATAATTTTATCATGAGGAGCTTTTTTGCTTGATTAGTGTGTATATTAAAATTCAGGGAAGCCTATCGACAGATCACTTGAAAATTCTAGTCTTCCCTGGATTTATAATTTAGTTTTGAGCAAACTGGAAAAAGTTGACTCAACCTAAAATTGTATGGAAATTTGTTTACTCAACTTTACTAAACTAAAAAATGTCCTGAAGCCGGTTGCCTTAAAATTTGAAGTTGAGTCAACTTTTTTACAATGTACATTTTGTTTTTTTCTTAAAACTTATGTTTCTTGATGCCAGTTAGACTTTCAGAGCATTTTATTTTACATTTAAGGTAAAAAAAATTGTCATGTTTTAAGATATTTTATGCTACAACATGCTTAAATTCAGAAGAGCTAAGAAATCAATTTTGGGTGAAATAACCCTGATAATTAATCATGAAAAAAGCTATTCTGAATTATTATCATTTATCATGCTTTAAATGACACTTTTGTATTTTAAATTGAGAAGAAACGTTTTCATGGTTTTCACATATTTATGCGATCCCACAAATATTAACATTTTGCTCAAACCCATGTCTAATATAGGAAACTGTGACTCAGAAATCAATCATGCTGACGCGAATGTTCCCGAATAATTTCAAGTTGTCACGCATATACGCAACACCGTTAAATATATATTTACCTTTACGACCAGCTTTGTTACGGGTTGGGGATGTAGCTCAGTGGTAGAGCGCATGCTTTGCATGTATGAGGCCCCGGGTTCAATCCCCGGCATCTCCATGAACATTTTTTACGAGCTAAAGCTATTAACTTGAACAAATACGCAATCGCTACATACAACTATTCTTGTCGAAATGTCGAAAAAAATATTTCCAAAAACAACGACAGTAAAAAAAGTAAACCACGTGTCGTTTACGTAACTACGTCATACGCTCTTTCCTTGGCGACGGTAACCACGGGGAAAGCTGTGTTTACCAAAATGTCTGCAGCCTGACAACTATTATGGCTATATCAAGAAATACGTTCTTTTAACTGCCCTGAGTCTTATTATAAACTTGAAGTATGCAGCTTAAGTACATGAAGACTCTTTTAACGCCTCAGGTAAAATATTGACGACGTTATTTAGCGATGCTAGCTAACGCTAACTAGCTCTCGGCGGTCCGCTATTTGTAGTCATGATGACTCTTCTTACCTTAGCAACACTTCGAAGATTGTGTCTTGTCTGATTTAAGTTAGTCGTTTACGTTGTGCAAAGAAATATTAATAGATAGCATATTCTGAGTGCTGTTTGAATCTGAGCAAAATGATTACAAGCCTCTACATTAATGTGTCTGTTATGGCTTTTCTTTAGGATGGAGCTGCTAAAGTCACCTGTATGGCTTGGGCTCCAAACAATGCAAAGTTTGCAGTGTGCACTATTGATAGAGTGGTTATTTTGTATGATGAGCAGGGAGAGAAAAGAGACAGATTTACAACAAAGCCTGCTGACCCAAAAGTAAGCTCTCATCTCGTTTTATTAGCATTTTTATATACAAAAATAATCTGTGTTCTGCAAATGTACTTAATTACGTATCTAAATTTGGTAAAGCCTCCAGGAAAAACGATGAATTAATTGCGTGTAATTTGTTGCAGTATGGAAAGAAAACCTATGTGGTCAAGTCTATGGCATTTTCCCCTGATTCAACCAAGATAGCAGTTGCTCAAACAGACAACATCATATTTGTTTACAAAATTGGAGAGGAGTGGTAGGTATCTCTGAGAACAGCTATTAATTATTCACATGTTCTTGTTAGTTACACTTATGGCTGGGCCAATAAACGATTTATTTTTTTACTCTATATTGATCTAAGAGCCAGTCACACAGAAGAAATGTTCAACAATGGGAATCTTAAAGTGTGTTGATATTAGAAATGTATCGAATTTTTGGCCATCGAAAATTTTACGGCCGAAAATATGTTGTTACATTTAATGGACCCTCCAACTTTTGTGACTTGAGTCATTGATGGGGTACCCTTTTAATTCTGGAAGTAACAACTATCGAAATCTATATTGTTATTGGAAAATAATTATCGAGATTGCATGTTTGCCACAATTCACAATTTGACATTTTATTTTCACAGAAGTTTTAAAAAAATTTAAGTGGACACTTTACTTTTATCAATATGACACTTTTGTCATTTTAAGCTGCTGCAGACATATTTTGGTTGGTGTTCAGTGTTGTTTTATTTTAATCATATGCAACAAATTGAAATCAAAAAAGTTATTCACCATATGCCATATTTCTAATATTTTTTTATTTCAATTAAAGTGAAAAGCTGTGCAATACCCAAACCACAATTTGCATAACCATGCCGTTTTCATTTTTAAACCAAATGTGTTCTTTTTCAGGGGAGATAAAAAAGTTATTTGCAACAAGTTCATTCAAACAGTGAGTATTTTGATAAATATTAAAATTAGGGCTGCACAATATTGCAAAAGTCTGACATGGCAACGTTTTGTTTTGCTGCAAAATATTTTGCGATATGAATGTAATTTCACCAGATGACTTAAATAACTTTAGAAAGATTTCATTCATTTAGATCGACTAGGGTGATCAGGTCTTTTTCTTTGCCGTACAACTGCATAAAATAAAAAATAATTAAACATATAAAAATACAACAAAGGACAAACAAAGGATCAATAAACAGTGCTTTATGGTAATCTGACCTAACAGTATTCAAATACAAAAATTAAATGATTAAGCTTAAAATAACTTTGTTATCGAAATGTATAGAAATATACAACGACGACTATGATCAAATGATATGTTGTTCAGCTCTAATTAAAGTACATCATTGGGCAGAAGTGTCACATATTTTGTGCATTCATTTTGCTGTTGTACCCTAGAGTGCTGTTACAAGCCTGGTTTGGCCGTCTGAGCATGCAATTATATTTGGACTAGCAGAAGGAAAAGTAAGTGTGATCATTTTTCTATGCTTTGCACTTCAGCTGAATTCCCTCTTTTGTCAGTATTCATTTTGTTGAATAATGTTATCAATTTTAGGTTCGACAAGCTAATACAAAAACAAGCAAGTCCTCAACAATCTATGGGACAGACTCTTATGTTGTCTCACTAACCTCAAAGTATGTATTCGTATTTAAAATTGCTATCCTGTGACTCTCACTTCATTGTCCAAGCAGCTTAAATTGGTATTGTTTTAGTATTATTTATAAACCATTAAAGTATTTAATTTTACTTTGCATTCATTTTTATAAAAACTTTGATTGTTTTATTTACACTTTAATGTAATGTTTTTTTTAATAGTTTTTTCTTTAATATTTGTAAATGGGTTTATATATATATATATATATATATATATATATATATATATATATATATATATATATATATATATATATATATATATATATATAGAGTATTAGTAATTGCACTTTAACTTTTTACAATAATTCTGTTTGTTTTTTCCAATTTTCACAGTGTATCAGGAAAGGGAATCCTTTCCGGTCACGCAGATGGAACGGTGGTTCGGTATTTCATTGATGATGAAGGATCTGGGGAATCTCAGGTAAAGAACTGTTTTTTATATACATTTAAAAGGTCCCGCGAAATTAAAATAAAGTTTTTTAGATGTCAGTATCGATATTGTTATTTTTTTAGGATATCTATAAGCTAGTGTGCTCCAAAACAGTAATACAATTCGCGTTTAAAAGATATGAAACTGATATAAACATGTAAGGCTTGCAGTTTGCAGATTGCCTAAATGGATCAACAGTTTTTCACTTCACCTCATACTTCAGTTTCTCTTCAAATTGTGATTAAATGCTCTCTAGGATCTGGCATACCTCTCCCCCTTCAAGATGCATCACATTTGATCCGCTGGCAGAGGGTTGATAATGCAAAACACTATTGACTGTTTTATAAAAACTACTACAGTATTAACTGTTTTAGTTGAGATTATGTCAAACATCAAATAAACATTCACATTTCAAAGCACTTCATGGGACCTTTAAATACATAAAATACATGTGCATTTAAAACATGCATATATATATATATATATATATATATATATATATATATAAAAATGAAAAAAAAAACTGCTGATTATAATCTTTTTTTTTCTGATTGATGACAGGGCAAACTGCTGACTCATGCATGTCCACCATATGCCTTAGCATGGGGCACAAACAGCATAATTGTGGCTGGGTGCGATAAGAAGATTGTTGCCTATGGAAAGGAGGGCAACGTGATTCAGACATTTGATTACAGCCGAGATCGAGCCGAAAAGGAATTCACTGTGGCTGCATCGAGCCCTAGTGGCCAGTCCATAGTTGTAGGAAGCTTTGACAGGTGAGAAAGCAGCTTTAAAGCGATAGTTCTCCCAAAAATTTTATTACATCATCGTTTACACTTCTTCATGTGATTTTATTCCATTGTAAGTTTCTTTTTTCTTTTGAGCTTAAAATAAGATATTTTGAAGAATGCTGGTTGCTGGGACCCATTGACTTCCAAAGTAGGGAAGAAAAATTTATATGGAAGTCAATGGGTCCCAGCAACCAGTATTCTTTAAAATATCCTCTTTTGTGTACCACAAAAGAAAGTGGGATTAAAACAACATGAGGGAGAGTAAATGATGAGATAACTTTTAATAAATGTTCAACTATTTTATTGTTAAACCAATATAAATCTTGTTTTTGTGTAGATTGCGAGTTTTTAATTGGAGTCCTCGAAAAGGCACATGGGATGAATCTTCTCCCAAAGAAATTCCAAACCTGTACACCATCACAGCTCTCTCCTGGAAAAAAGATGGCTCTCGGCTTTCTGTGGTCAGTCTCGGTATATAGTTTGTAAAAAGTTTGTAAAAAGTAAAAAATAAAAGGGCTGTTGAAATATAATGGTGAGGTTCAGCTTTTTCACTTGGGACAATGGAGAGACTTTAGAGATGATGTT